CTTTTGAGGGAAAAAATTACTCACCTTTACCACTGGTTATGAAAAAAACAATTCTTTTCTTTTCTCTCCCGTTCCTTCTCACACATCACACCACTGCCAGACTCGGGAGCAGAAGGAAGGGTTAACGCCGCCGCCTCCCCTCCGGCAGGCTGGCCGCCGCCCGGCCGGCTCCGCTCGGCGCCGCCCCTGGTCGTCCCCAGCTAGCGCCGACCCCGCCCTTCCCCGCCTGACACCGCCCTCCCCTTCTGCGCCCGACGCAGGCAACACCAGACGCCGCCCTGCCCTTCTCCGACGGCACCGACGCCGCCCCTAGTTCGGTCGCCGTCCTGCCCTACTCCGACGGCACCGACACAGCCCCTGGTCCCGACCTATACTTGCCAGAGAGGACGAACTCAAAGAAGGTGGCAACACAACATACCTCGAGGAAGAGCCACGGCATTGGACGATGATGTGCGCTGCGGCGGCACCGGCGAGTTGAATCCGAGCCCCTCGTGGCGGCGCCGGAGGTCGAGCAGCAGCTTCTGAGTGAAGTCGGAGCCGAGATCAGGCACCTTGGCCATTGCCTCCCACTCTCAAGGAGAAGCCAACACCTTCCTCTCCCTCTCTCCAGCAGCTGTCCTGCACCATGAAATGATGAAACCACAGCCAGTTTGTTGCCTGAAGAACAAAAAAAAAAGGAAAAAAAGTACAGTGTAGTTTTCCTCGAGTTGGTCAGTCCGTGTGTTCAGGCTCTCATTATCCTGACTCACATTCTGGATAATTCACAATTTAGTCCTTTTAAAAAACTTATTTCATAAATAAACCTCTAAAAAAAACTTATCCAAAAATGATCCTTTTTAGCGTCAGAGTCACTGGACGGCGCCAGCCTGCCGTCCTCCTCCGACGTGGCCGGGCAGTGCTGAGGTGGCAGGGGAGCGCGGCAGCCATATTGGCGCTCCCCCCCCAACCCCCGCCGGCATTTTTTCCTCTCCTCTCCTCTCTAGTATAGAGGAGAGAGATGTGCAATATTTTTATTTTATTTTATTTTTTTCATACTTAGAAGCAAATAAGAACCAACCATAAAAAAATAAACTCAAATGAACGAGATATGTGATTTGTAAAATTTTCTAAATCTTTACCGAAAATAGGCGTTATTCGAGTGTCATTTCTTAAAATTGGCGTAACTTTCTCATACAGACTCGGAATCAGGCAAATAATATATCCACGGACATCTACAGAAAAAGTTACATTTGATTCTCCCCCGCTTTGCCAGTTCGGCGAAATTAAAACCACCAAATTCTGCTTGCAAGATTGTGTTTTCGAGGCTAGAAGCTTTTCGGTAGAGCTTTAGAAAATTCCACAGGTCACATATTTCGTGCATTTGAATTTATTTTTTCTATGGTTGCTTCTTCTGTGCTCCTGAGCTTGAAAAAAATATCAAAAAATAAAATAAAAATAAAAAAGTTGCACATCTCTCTCCTCTCTCTCCTCTACACTGGAGAGGAGAGAGATAAAAAAATTTACAATTCACATATTTCGTCCATTTGAGTTTATTTTTTTTATGGTTGGTTCTTGTGTGCTCCTAAGCATTAAAAAATATCAAAAAATAAAAGAATAATAAAAAAATCCGGGGGGGGGGGGCGCCAGCCACACTGGCGCGCTCCCCCTACCACCTCAGCACCGCCCTGCCACGTCGGCAGGAGGACGGCCAGTGACTTTGGCGTCCTAAAAATGATTATTTTTAGGATAAGTTTTTTCATAGGTCTATTTGTGAAATAAGTTTTTTCTAAAGGACCAAATTGTGAAAAATCCAGGACTCACCTTTGCCTTGTTCTGCTTCAATGAGTCTCCTACAGTGAGCTACAGTGAGGTGAGGTGTCTCATCTCACCTGGGATGATGCATCCTGTTTAGTGGAAGATCGCCTTGGAAGTAACACATCACTCTGACCTGTTTGCATCCTCAGTTTCACCCGAATGCAAGCAAAGCAAGAAAGATTGTTTGCATTTGGAATCATCCTTGATGATGAGGGTTGTAGTTTTAGCTAATGTTTGCATTATATCACTTTGATGGATGAAAAACTAATATATTTTGATGAAAAACTTATAATTTTTTTCTTTCCAAATTAGCCCTTTAAATACGAAATATTGAACAGATTAGATTTTTACGAGTAATTTGTATATAAACAGTCCCACAGGCCTTTAGGGGCATTATAAATATTTCTTCTATAACCTATAGTTTCACAGTTGCTCTAACCAAACAGGCTTCTGCTTTTCCCACAAAAGATTTTCCACAACTGCTTTTCCACAGCCCACAGCTCACAAAACCTTTCCAAAAGCTACAGCTCAACCAAACACACCCAAGAGAAGGAGGGTAGTTTGGTAATTTTTGTCTAGTTAGTTGTATGTAGTTTCATGTATATTGGGAATTAATAAGTGGTAGTTTTATTTTTTTAAAATGACGTAATAATTTAATTTTAACTTGCTTTAATTATTGGCTGCCACCAAAAATAGATGTTTGTTGGCGGTTTGTAGCCGCCAGAGAAGATATTACATCTTCACTTGCCTTTGGTCTTTGGCGGAGCTTGTGGCCGCCAGCAACAACGTATTTTGGCTGCAAAAAATGGTTTTTTAGTAGTGTACGTCATTCACGTGAAGATCTGAGAGATCCGCGTAGCTCCATTGTAGGTCCTATCAATCGGGTTAAGGGTGTGTCCATTAGTTTGATTTTGTAACTAATTAATAAGATACATAGATGGATCATATAAGATCAAGGAGCCGATTGACCAATAAGCCGATGGGATATAGCAAAGCCAGCCGATGTCGATAGGGTTTTAATCAATCGCTATAGATCTAACGTAGATTCAAATAATCCGATAAAGGGCATGTTTGGTAGAGTTCTAACTCCTAAATTTAGCTCCAGGAGTTGGTTTCGGAGTGGAGTTGTGGAGTTGTGAGCTGCCTAAACCCAACTCTATCTCTCTAGTTCATATTGTGAGATAGCTCCACCCAGCTCCGCTCCCATTTTAGGTGGAGCTGAAACTGTTTGGCTGAGCTCCAGCTCTCGGAGAGGTGGAGCAAGAGCTGGAGTTGGAGCTGTGCCAAACAGGCCTAAAGAATGAGATTTATGTTATTATCGGTTGGAACTAAATTATACATAATCATTAATAAATCATTTTTTATCAAAAGCAATCTTGATTGATCAGACCAAACTGAGACATTATAAGATTGAAGTTGATAAACATAGATTTAATTAAATAATATACAAGTTTGATTATAAGCCGATGTAACTCAAAAGATGTAACAAGATAATATAATGTGAACCTATCGACCAAACTGATATAATGTGATAGATGTAGATCCGATAGTTAAAGCATATATCAGTTGTAGATCCGATCTAAGTAAACTAAAATGTATATTGGCTAACTAACTGATGTATCTGATAGTTGAAGCCCACAATAATGAAAATGCACGGCTAAGAACTTTGATAAACGATGCATAAAAACCTGTCGGCTTACTAAAATTAATTAAACATATTAGTAGCATTCTAATAGATCGAACCCAACCGAGACAGTATAAGATTAAACATAATAAGAAAAACCTATTTACCTGATAGATTTACACAAAAGTGATGGATATAACAAATCTATCTAGAACAACATTACAATTAGAGAAATATCAACTTAGCCAAAACATCAGACCTAACCGAGAAATTCTCATTAAGACTATACAAATCTAAACATCAATACAATTAAAGATAGAATTAATATATTAGATAGGCAACTATTACGTAAACCGAGATAGAATATTAGACTTAACCGAGAAAGTTCTAGTCACGCCGATACAAAGTAAGTTGACTGAACTTACTTACTCACCAGATATCGAAACTGATGCAAACCAACAAAAAATAAGAACTTGATGGAATAAAATATTGAAGATGTGTCGAAAGTAATTGTAGTGATCTGTGAAGGTAGTTTACGAAGAACCCGAGTGTACATATTTATACCCTCGGTTTGATACTGGTCCTAAGCAAACACGATACAGGTTTTTCTAAAGATAAAAGGAAAAAATACAAGTCATGATCAGACACTATATAAACTTACTAAAGATAAACTAAATCCTACCTAATTAATACATAGATAAAATTAAATTGCCGTCTTCACGATTCTTTTTTAACTCAGTCTCTACAGGATAAACTTCCATTGGTTGATCGACTTAACAAATTAACTAAAGAAGCGTACCAAATTTTGATGTTAAGATATACCCACACTTTCTTTCACCTCTCATTGCATTCTTTCACCTCTCATTGCAGTTATGCAACGTACCAAATTTTGACGTTAACATATACCCACGCTTTCTTTCACCTCTCGTTGCTCTATGCGACAGTATTTAGGTTTTATATGGTAGGGGACTTCAGTATTGTCGGCGGCTTTGACATGGTCTTCTGCATGTGTTTTTCTTTCTGATTTTTTCACGATGTAAGCACGTAATTTTCGTACTTGCTTTTTTTACATGGTAAATTACATACATTTACATCACAAATCACAAATCTTACACTGCAAATTTTATATATTAGACTGTGATCTTTTTTCTACACTCTAATTAACATACAAAACATTTTATTACCAACTTGGCTACTTGGAAGAGGGAATAAGAGCAAGTATAATAAAGTGATGTAAGAAGTCTAAATGCTGAAGTGGATGAGAGAGTAGAGGAGAGAGATGAGAAGCGGGCTTTTAAGTTTACAGCTGGCTTAGACACAATAACTAAGAAAATACACACATGTAGACCATATATTTATAGTGAAAAGCTAATCACTATATAAGTGAGCTGAGAGATAGACTATAAAGATCTATACAATAAGTATAGTGGGTAGCTTGCTCAGAAATAGAAACATTTCTGAAGTAAAAATGATAACGCTATTTTTTAAGTAAAACTGAAATATTTAATGCGAGCTTGAAGTCACCGCAGCTTGTCTCCGCCTTTGTAATAATAAATCGATAAAAAAACCCAAGGAGACGTACAGCGAGAGAGACGCTTCGTTTCGTCGAGGTATGCGTCGTCTCCCTCCTCCTCCTCGATTCCCTCCCATCCTTTTGCATTTTGATCGTTGAATTTTTCTTTTCACCTAAAGCGTTCCTGCCTGATCAGTCATCCTTGCATCGTTTCGCTCCCATGGAGTCGAGGATTCATCATGGATTCTTGGTTATTCGGTTTTTCCCTTTCTGCAGGTTCCGCGCGCGCCACCTGTTCGACGGAACGCCCCTGTGACACCTGCCGCCACGCGCGCGCCACCGGCAACTCGAGGTACGTTCCTTCTTCCTCCCCGCCTCCCTCCCCCCCTGTTGTCTTGTTCCTCTTCGAACATTCTTATGTCTTGCTGCTCCCGTTCGAGTTGAGGATTCATGGATTCTTGGTTCTTGGTCTTCCCCGCTGCCTGCAGCGTCCACGCGCACCACCTGTTCGACGGAACGCCACAGGACGGACGGGCGGGTGATGATGGAGCCGGCTCATGCCCCCGGCAGAGACAGGCTCAGCGCCCTCCCGGACAACGTCCTCCGCCGCATCATGTCCTTCCTCAACGCGCGCCAGTCCGTGCAGACGTGCGTGCTGTCGCGGCGGTGGCGCCACCTCTGGCGCTCCCTGCCACGCATCAACGCCGACTACACCGAGTTCTGCTTCGCCTGCTTGGATGAGAAGAAAGAGAAGGTGCAGGAGGCGCGGTTCAAGAAGTTCGTGAGCACGCTGCTGCTACGCCGTGACCCCGTCCCCTTGCTGGACAAGTTCTGGCTCAGGTACCAGGTGTCTGACGGCAACAACAACGAGAAAGCTTCAGCAGAAGCTGGTCTGTGGATCAGCCATGCGTTGCAGTTGCAGACCCCGGTCGTGGAGGTTCTCACATTTCAATTTCCATTGATGCTAGACCATGCTGTATTTACCTCAGACTACTTGAGAAAATTGGGCCTCTCCAATGCTTATCTCCGCATGGGTTTCTTCGAGCAACTCAGCAGAGGCTGCCCACAGTTGGAAGATGTGTTCTTGAATGATTGCATCATTCTGGATGATGAGATTTCCTCAACCACTCTCAAGACTTTGAACATCTATGCTTCTCGGTTTTCGGAGGACTACCGTGCTTCTATTTCTACTCCGAGCCTCACTTCTCTGACATTGTATAAACCTGATGCCAGTGTACCTTCACTAAAGGACATGAAATCACTAGTGTCTGCTTCCATTATTCTCGACGATAATACTGATATCCATGAGTTGCTCATGAGCCTTTCTGGTGTCAGAAATTTGGACTTGGAGTGCCCGCAGAAAATGGTATGTATCCTGATCTGACATATTTCCTCTTTTCCTACCATGTCAATGCAGCATGTGCCAGTACAATAAATGGAGAAACTTCTGTTTCATGCAAAACTAGGTGTGCATAATTGATTCTTATGAATGATTTATTGATAGGATGATTTGTGCTGTCAGAAGTCAACTCGATGCAATCAATTCCTTATACTCAGTTCACTTACAGATTCATCGACCCGATGAACTGAAATGCCTTAATTAGTGGGCATTTTAATTTCAGACAGCGACTGGAGCACTAACACCGGCATGTTTTGATCTGGTTGAATACAGGGGTGATTAGTTAACTTCTATGGAAACCAGTACGTATAGAACTATAGATAGATACCGTGTTTTCACTAGTGTATCTACCTTATTTGCAATGAAAACATCCTGTCAATTAAGTCACATAAAATCCAGGTTATGTATTCTCAATAAAGCAAGTAAATCATTGTTCAATGTGGATTTTAGTTAAACTTAGTTTTTGTTTCTGTCATGTTCTTTTAACATTCACTCAAAACAGAGTACTTATTGCATGATTCGGTGCGCTATTTTTTAGCGTGTGTGGGTGTGAATCGGGAAAATGTTTCCATAATGTGGCATGCGTTTTGGGTAGCCTCCTAATCATTTAAACCTTGTGCAGGTCACAATCGCAAAAAATACGCAATGGTGTCCAGAATTCAAAGATCTTGTAAACCTGAGTCTGGGTCAGTTTTGTCTGGGCTCAAAGTTATATGCATTAACTGTCTTCCTTAAGAACTCACCGAAACTAGAGAAGCTGACTCTGGACCCCCCTGAGGTAGAAGCTTTTCTCCACATGTATGCTTAGCGTATGTGTTATCAGGATAAAACTTACCATTTTCCTACTGTAGGTAATCATTGATAAGCTTGAAGAAAGATCATTTGAATGTGAGCACCTTAAGATTGTTGAAGTCATATGCTCGGAGGATGATAGTACTTTGCTCAAGCTCGTGGAGGACATCTTTGTTACTAGTGGCATGAACTCTCTTCAGATTAATCGCAAAAGCAGTTACAAGCAGTACTATTCAGATGATTTTTTTCAGATTTGATTACGACAGTACGACTGCACAAGAACATGCGGAATGACAAAAGGATCATGCATTCACTTGTCACTAGTCGTCAATATGATCACGCTGTTTGTTGGATGAGCCTAAGTGCATGCATTTCTTCAATTAGAATTTGAAGGCAGATAGACATGTTTACTGCACTCGTTTGCTGATATGGCTTGAGAACAAACAAGTGTGTCTTGAGTTGCATGTAAGGTCTCAAATTCCGACAGGGTGGTTTACTTGTTTGGAAAATTTTCCCCAAAAAACAGTGATAACAGAATGTGTGGCTACTTCTGTTGATGCTCAAAGAACAAAGTGAACTGCATGTTACATTACATGTTTTCAGTATTCTATGTGGCCGTTTTATGTCTTTCTGAGTCCTGACATTATGTTACAATCTGAAGACCTGCTTTCACTTCAAATTTCACTATTTTTTAACCCATAGTTTTCTGCGATTTTCGTTCAAATTAATTTCGCTATCCTTTGTATTAACACATACTACCTTCTGCATTTGCAAGATGCAAGATAATTAGAGGAGTGCATTACAATTTACATTTTACACATGCATTTTTGTTAATTAGATATCTTTTGACCCCTTTTTGCTGCGATTTTCTTTCAAACTAATTCCACTATCTTTTGCACATTAACACATACTATCTTGTATATTTGCAAGATGCAAGTTAATTAATTACAGGAGTGCATTGTTACAATTTACATTTCACACGCATGCATGCATGCTTGAATCTTGATCATGATGTTAATTAGCAAGCTAAATCAAGCAAGCCTAGAACTAGAAGCGATGGAACTTGGAGCAGAACGCAAGGGGGTCCATGTCAAGCCACTGGGCGTTCTTGGGCTGCGCCGCCTTGGCGACACAGAATGGGCAGAAGGCGAAGTACATCTTGCTCGCCGCCGCCGCCGCCGGAGACGGCCTTCTCCTCCCCCTCCGGTACGTCGACCTGTAGTTCTCCGTGCAGCAGCCGTCGTGCCGGACATGTTCTTCTCCGTAGTCGCGGGTGGCGCGGCGTTGGCTGTGCTGCCGCGGCGGCGGCGGCGCCGGACTCTGGCGTCTTGGCGGTGGCGGCGGCTTTGGCGCGTCGCGTTCCACGTCGTCGCCGGAGAAGAAGGGCGCGTGGCCGGAGCTGATGGCCTCCCACGCCTCGGTGACGAGCTTGAAGGCGCCGTCGGCGGCGGCGGAGCGGTTCTTGTCGGGGTGCGTGAGGAGGCGCATCAGCTTTAACTGCTTCTTGGCGGCGTCGAGGCCGTCGCCCCGCCGGACGCCGAGGAGCGTGTGCCAGTCGACGCCGCGCCCGCGCGCGTTGCCCGCCGCCGCGACGACGTGGACGCGGTACGCGGCCATGGCGCGCGCGGCGGCCGGGTGCAGCGGGGAGGGCGCCGGGCACAGCGCGCGGGCGCGCGCCGCCTCGCGCCTCGCGCCGGTGAGGTCGCCGCGGAGGAACATGTTCTCCGCGAGGCGCAGCGCCGCCTCCGCCGCCTCGTTAGGCGACACGGCGGCGGACGCCCGCGGCGGCGTCGCGGCCGGCGTCGACATGTCGGACGACACGCACGCGCACGGAGTGCGCACAGAAGACGACGCCCGTTCCTCACGTCTCGTGTCCTGAAATATGTAGGGAGTTGTCGAGTCCGAATTGGATTATGAACTTAAATCATATTTCTTTCTGCTTGCGGGGAACTTAATCGCATATCAAAATTTTGTCCATTAACTAATACATTCGGCGTCGGTCTTAGATTGCCAAATATTAATCTTTGCATTTTGTCATAAGATCAATATAAAAAAAACTTAAACAATTCTCAATATAACGTGGCGTGTTAGATTTCATCCTTTAACATGTGAAGGCCAAACGAAAAGTATGTTGAGGGAAATTGTCCCTTTATTTTTTTTTCTTCAAGTAGCATTTATCCTCATATTTCGCCTTTATTTTTTAATAAATCTTATTTTTGTTATTCGCACTTTGGAGGGAAGGGGGAACTTGAACTGAACATCCCCCTACCACTCTTGGGTAAAAGAATATATTCATTTTATTTGGTAAAAATTTATGGTGCAGCTCTATCTTGATTCAAATAACACACATTTCATTTTGAATCAAGTTACTGTTGCTACCCACCACTGGATTTATTTAAATTCATCAATATGGATTCGCGGTTTAGCAACAAGAAACCAGAGTAAAGTTTTTTCTTTCCAAAACACCCAAAAGATTAAAACAACCCATATTGCACATTTGAGTTTCACAATTTTTCGTCCGACAAAATCAACAAAGTGCAGCATATATCAGTGCACTACAATGCAATACTGAAGTTTTGCATAATTAAGAGATGGGACTGACAAAAAATAAATAAATGTATAGATGAGACGTAAACTAGAATACATAAAGATACATTAGTATGGCATGATGACAATTTTTCCTTCCCAGTAATATCAACATTGGATTCCTGAAAATTATAGCATTTCTAAACAGAAGTTTTGTTGGAAAAGACGTCATGTAGGAACCATTTGAGAGTACCAATCTATTTAGGTCAATTTATGTTTCCCCAAAAATGGTTCTCTGATGGATTTTATAAATCCATCTAATGGTTTATTGACGAACATATGACTGACTCTTGGCTCCTTGGTTTCCAATGATAACAGCAACGGTGTATTTCAAATCACCAACTCCATCCCGAATAAGTCCTCTTTCAGTTTGGAGGACATTGGAGGGAAATTATTCTCCGTCAAATCCCCTCCAATTCTCTTCAATCTCTTCCAAACCGAACAAGGCCTCTTAGGGATTAAGCGAACAAGCCCTAAAAGAGATTGAGACGGATTTTAGTTCAATGCGAGGGGATCAGTATGGTGGTGTTTGAATCTCCTGAAGATAAAGATGAAGTGTGATAATAATATGTCCTAAAGATTAAGTGTTTCACACAAAACGATGTGATAATAATATGTGATTAATTAAGTTTTAATTATTGCAAACTTGAAAAATAGATTAATCTAATATTTTAGAGCAACTTCCATATAGAAAGTTTTCGCACGAAACACACCGTTTAGCAGTTTGAAAAACGTGCCACGAGAATCCAAAATGTTGCCTAACAAGTGCAAGTGAACTTCCAATACGGTGCAAACACAAGCGGCATAATTGACCTTACTTGAGCAACCAAAAGTAACTTTAAAAACAGAACAATGTTGTCAGAGAGCTACAAATGCTGGAGTAACCTCAAACAGCGACGGCTAGGTACATCTTACATAGAAATTAGTAAGCGCAACGAAGAACATATAAAGTTTAGTCTTTGCACCGGTGTCCTTCACATAGGAAAGTTCTCTTCAGCATCCTGAAAACCACAGAGAAAGCCGGTGAGTGAAGAACGGAAGATTAAATGTAAACTGGTAACCTTTTTTGGCTAATGATTTGTTAAAAGTTATCTAAAGGTGAGAACATCCACAGGGTTAAAAGAAAAAAAAATTCTCTGAGCTTGTAGTAATTCCAATGGTAAGTAATGTGAACAATTATATTTTGTACACTACACAAGCCCAACATAGTAATTCACTGAGCTGTAAACTAATGGCAGAGGTGCAACATAACATAATGGCAGTTTCAAGTTGTTTCTAAAGGAAGGGGTAAGGCTGTTTCCTCATAGAACAGTGCTACTAGTGCACTCAGTGACTTGTATATAATGCTTAACTAAATGATTATATATCATGAAGTAAAATTAGCAGAAAGTTCAGTGATAGCTTCTGCTTACACACCAGAAATAACAGAGAAAAATTATCTAATATGACATGAAATTCTGAAATTTACAGGAAAAGAGATAGCATTCACTTTCTCAAAGAATTGGTGAAGTACCACTGACGGATTAGCAAATGTGCAGAGTTCATGCTGCATTGGGTTAGGGGCTTAGGTATCAGCAAGCAAGATCAATATCAAATGACACTTGTATGAATCACTCCACAAGGCATAGCAAAGAAGCATGTACATATTATCACAGGGCCATTCCCTATGCTTTATCTAACACATGAACTCTCGTGTTATATGATCAATGTGATTTCAATGGATCGGTTTTGGAAAAAACATGAGAAGGGCAATGGTTGTTCTTCACTTCGTTGTATAGGGTATTAGTTTGCACAAACACCAACATGGCCATGAAATACCTCCAACCGTAACCCAGTGGCTCTTATATATTGTTAAGTATTGACACGCTACTGTGAATATCTAGGGAAAGAACCCCCATATAATTATTATCTTAAAAGTTCAGAAGAAAATATATATATCCACATTGTCTCTTCATGGAGTAAAATTCCATGTGGTGACATGATTAATTACCCTAGTTGAGTGAAATCCTTATTTGCAAACTTCCTCTACCCCATCTGTGGATGCAAGTTGAGCTGCGGGGTCACTCAAAAGTCAAGAGAAGTACAAGGAGCCTCATAGGCTCATGGCTCCACTTCCTCTTGCTGTGTTTTCCATATCAATGGTTGAACCCTTGAAAGGACCATAATATTATTGACCAGATTTTTTTCTTACCAAGCTAATTAGGCAAAGAAACAGCTTAATTAGCTTGTCTTAAACATCATATGCTAAAATATGGAGGTGGTACTATCCAAGACACGCTGGTAAGCTAGTCCAAAATACTTACAAAAGTTGCAATTGCCATTGCCTGATTGCTAACAATATGGTATCAGTTTACATAATTAAAGAAACAGACATAGCACAACAGATATTTAAATTACTTACGTTTCACATGGCACAAAATGAGATGGATCAATCAGGATCATTTCTTTGTTCCTTCCTTGAAAAAGGCGTGCTGAATAAGGCTTTCCTTGATTCTATGAGGACTGATTGCTGGCAAGTCATCATTGTACTGGAATTTGGACACCAAATTACCCTTGTTGTCACAGTGCAACAACCAGCCAAAACAACTGACAAGAATATCTCCCTCCTCGGACACAACCTCCGCCCACCAATCACCCTGATCTTGGAAACGCCTGATCTCCATTGTTGGCAGCTTAATCTTGTACCGGAACACCCAGACCTCATGATCGTAGTCTTCCAACATGAAGATGCTCATGTCCATCACACGTTCTTTGCTAACGGACATAGCAAGCATGCCATCCATGGCAAGTAACCTTGTATAATTCCGAGGATTCACAGCTGGTGGGCGCAATTGCCGGAATGACTCCGCCACCGTATTGAAGACTAGGATCCTATTGTAGCGTGTTCCCCGCCGTTTCTTCCAATGCAGGTGCAGATTGCCATGGATGAGTACCGGCCTGCCAAAGATCATCGGGCCCGGTGCTCCTATGATCTCCTCATCCATGGGTGTCACTGAACACGGGATTTGCCTCGGCTTGTTGCTACCCACCGCGAGGACACAGTAGCAAATCGGGCAATACACCTCAGAAGGGGTATCTGACGAAGCGAAGTAGAGCACGCGATACTCTCCGGAAGGTTCATGCCGGTATAATCCGACGATATTGTCAATCGTCCACCTGGAAATGGGCGCGCGTTGGCGTGTGGTCGGGTTGCAGATGTACCCGCCAACGATGAGGAGGCCATCGCAGGAGGCTGTGATGGGGAAACCTCCACAAAAGGGTCGCGGGAAACTGAAGATTGGGCGGCGCTCTGCAGATCGGAGGAGGATGGCGTCGAGGCAGTTGGGCATCCATTGGTCAGCGGGTGCGGGGTTTCGGAAGGAGGTGACAAGGGGGAACTCCGGCTGGCGGCGGTGGTGGCGGAGGAGGAACGCGTGGGTGGAGGCGATGTGGCGCCACGACCGGCACACGGCGCGGCAGTGGAGGACGGAGTTGGCCGGCAGGCGGAGCAGGATTTCCTCCTGGATCTCCTCGGGGATGGGGAGGCCCGCGACGGCGGCTTCGCTTGTTGCTGTTCCTGGCACGGGAGATGGAGACGGAGGTTCACCACGCCTCCTCCGACGAGGAGGTGGTGGCTGGCCATCGCCATCGTCAGGAGGAGACCGGATCTGGCCCGGAGAGGAGGTGGGGCTGCTCCCGCTCGGACGGGGTCGACGAGAGGAGCGGCGAGACGAGTTGAGAGGGGAACCTCCGCCGGGAGGAGAGCCTCGGGGTGCGCCGCCGCCGCCGCCGCCGCCGCCGGCGGCGAGGCGCCGCCCAGATCGAAGGAGCATTGTTGTCGTTGAGTAGTGGATCTGTGGATAATACACATTTCAAAATTTGACTGTAAATGATCGGTTAAAAGAGCGGTTTTCGCTATTTTACTTTATTTTTGTAGTGGAAGTTTAAATAATTTCGAAAATTCGAGTCATGCATAATTTTTTTTTAATAGCCACTACGGCACCTGAAGTTCCACACATTTTTTTTAAGGAAAAAGTACGAATTACTCCCCTAAACTATCGCGGTCGACCGAATTATCTCCCTCAACTCAAAACACAGAGAAATTACCCCATCGACCTAATCAAGAGCGGTTTTGTCCTACGTGTCGTATGCTGAAAAAGCTAGTTCACAGGCGCCCGACGCGCGTGGCTATTCATCGGGCTGTCACGCAGCCATTGGATGTTATCCAAAGCAAATGCTCCCATCTCTCATTTCTTCGAAAGATTTTTTTCTCGTAAACTATTTATCTAATCTACGATCTGATTACACCACTAATTTTTTTACAATTAAATCTTTACAACAAGACCACACATGATTATATTTCGATAAAAAAATATTTTAGCTTTTTTATTGATATTTTTAGAATGTTGAATATGGTCTCTTTTGATGTTTCAAACAGTAATTTTACGATGTTTCAACTAGTGTACTCGTGATGTTTCACTATGTACAGATCAAATATTACAGTGGATTTTGATATTATGTAACGCGTCGTTGCAACAAATATTTTGGAAACCCTTATTAAGGGAATCCGTTTCATTTTCTGTTCCACCAAAAATGTTTCACCTAGTATTCTCATAATGTTTTACTATGTATGGATCAAATGTTACAGTGAATTGAAACATTCTTTCACAACAAATCACCCATATAGTTTGGAAACCCTCTATTAAGGGAATTCGTTTCATTTTTGTTCCACCAAAAATGTTTCACCTAGCATACTCACAATGTTTCACTATGCATAGATCTAATGTTGCAGTGAATTGAAACATTATTCTTATATAAGGTGAAACAATGCCCGATTTAAACAATTGAAACATTTTCGATCTACTTAGTGAAACAATTCTGACATACTTGGTGGAACAACGTGCAACATTTAAAAATAATTCAATAATAAGCTAATTTTTTTTCATCGGAATATATCCATGTGTGGTCTTGTTTTAAAGATTTAATTGCAATAAATTTAATGGTGTAATCGGATCATGATTTGGATAAATAATTTAAGAGAAAAAATAGTTTATAGTAGTTTTGCATGCATGCCTCATGCTGACGTGGGCAACCAATTTTCCCACTCCTGGATTGGGCGCCCGATCCTAAGTTGTGTGGTAATCCAGTCAGCATTTTATTTGTTAAAAATGTGGGACCCACCTGTCATACTCCTCTTCCCCTCTTCCTCTGTCTCTTCACTCTCTCGCATGACTCTTCCTCTCTCTCACGCACACATGGCGCTCACGGCGACACGGGGACGGGCGGTGGGCGGGGACGGTCGGCGTGAACGGCGGCACGCACGGCGCGGCGGCGCTCACAGCGGCACGCACGCGGGCACAGATGCGCACGGCGGCACGGAGGTACGAGTGGCAGATGACGATGTGCGGGGACGGACGGTGGACAGCAGCGAGGGACGCGGAAGCGAGAGCGGCGAACACCGGCAGTGACCCGTCCAACCCCTTCCACCCACTCCTCGCCTCCCCGCCCCACCACTTCGGCCCCTAACCCACTCCCTCCTCCTTCGCCGCCACAGCTCCCCACCGACCCGCCGTCGCTCGAGTGGGAGTGCCTCCCGTAGTGGTCCCACGCCGAGACGGCCGCCTTCCTCGCCTTAGTGGGGTGACGCGGTGCCCGTGACGCCGGCGGCAGGCTCGGGCAGGAAGGGGAACTAGTCGGCGCCGAGCGGCAGCGGCCGCGGCTGGGTGGCTCCAGTTGACGATGGCGCGGATGGGAGCGCCATAGCTCGAGCTTGCGCTTCCTTCATCGTCCATCCTTCGTTCCCGACATCGTTCCCCACCCGTCGGTGAGCTCCCTGCCTCCTTCCCCTTACCGCACGTTGTGTTGCCACTGCCGTCGTTTTCTCTCTTCTCGCCATCGTCCGGCCACCATCGCCGCCGCGCGCGCCATGCGCTGCCGTTGGCTCCTCCCACTAACCCCCACCCCCGGAGTTCCTTTCCGCCTCCCTAATCCCTTCCTCGGCTGCTGGCCCTCTTCTCTTGCCCTCTTGTCGTGCCGCCTTTCTCCGTTGCTGTCCATCCTCTGTTCCCGGCGACCAAATCCTCCCGGAGTTCGTCGCTACCGCCTCTGCGTCCCATGTCGCCGCCTCCTCCATGTCCCGCGCCACCCACCGCCCGCCGTGTGCGCCGAACGCCTGCCGCCGCTTGACCCGCGAGAGAGAGAGGGAGAGTGAAAGAAAGAGAGTGAGAAGAAAGAAGAGGTGAGATAGTATGATAGGCGGGTCCCACATTTTTTTAATAAATAAAATGCTGACTGGATTGCCACGCGTACGACATGTAGGACAAAACCGCTTCGGATTGGATCGAGAGGGATAATGTCCGGTATTGAAAGTTCAGGGTGAACGATGTCTGGTTTTCGGGTTTAGGGGGTAATTCGATTGGCCGTGATAGTTCGAGAGAATAATTCGTACTTTTTCCAGTCTTTGGTGCTTTAATTTATCCAAACAAGTTCTTAACATATATCGCTTGGCTTAACATAGCCTTTAAACCCATAGAAAACGCTACGTGGATGTGTAACGTCAGCTATGCATGTAAGAACAATAATTTAATAACCAATCAACCCTAATATATATCACAATTAAAGAAAAAGAAAGAAAAACCATAATACAACCATTTTTTCACGTTCAAATCATCAGATTGAATTTACGGTGAATATCACAATTTTTTTAACTAAATTTGTTGAACTTTGATGATCGAATCTTCGGTGTGTATTTAGATGGATTTTTATTCTTTTATAGGTGCATGTAACACCTTTACATTCCATTATCTAAAAAAAAATAAAATGTAACACCTTTACATGGTTTGATACATCATACATGTATAGTACAATATCCATGTAGGTCACAGATTTTCGGTTTTCAACATGGGTACTTTGGTATAGATTTGTGGCACTCTCAACGCTGGCGTGCTGTTTCATCTTTTAATTTGGTCTTCCAATGACATGGAGTGATGACTAGCTAGGCTATATATATACCGTTTCTTTTGGTGACACTATTGTTGTTTCGTGATCTCCAACTCTTCAAGCACCATTAATAAGACTGTCGTCTCCTGTTCTAGCACCGAGTCTATGCACCATACAGTCACGGAGGATTAATTGTTGGCTGCACCAACTTCTCGTCAAACAACTCCAGTCGTCTTTGGCATCCCATTTTGGTTCATTAATTTGCCTAATCTCCCAATCTTGCGCGGTGGCCTTAAGATCTGTAAGCCCAATTTGTCTGGGTTGGTGAGCTCTGAGAGCCTAATTTCATGCGTTTCTAGAATTTTGAATGAACAAAAGTGGTATATTAATAAGGATCTTCGTCTCAATTAATGTTAATTCGTCTCAAGTAAGAGAGAAGTAACATAATCTTGCCTATAATTTATTTTTGGGAGGTGGTGAGTTACCTGGGTGCGAACCCAGGCCAATGGCTTAATTATTAGCTGCTGGCAACTGCTTGCCAGCTGAGCTAAACATGGTTCCCGTGTTTCTAGAATTAATCCATTGTAAAAGAAACTTGTGAATCTACCTGTGGTCGAGTTGTTGAGGAGGAACTCGCCATATTGATTCAGATGAAAGTCTCTCTGGTAATTGAAAGAGCACACACGTGTGAAATTCTTTTTAAATTAGATGTTTATAAAATAAACTCAACCCTTCCTTAACTAGTTAAGACTATACTCTTTTCGGACCGATAATAGATAAAAGTGACGTTAAACTTTAGAATCTTTGATTATAAATTATTTTTAAAATATTTCCCTTTCAAATATGGTGACTACATATATATAGATTAGTTTTAAAAAAATACTTTAATAAAATCGTATATTTATTAACACTTTTATATATATTATAATAGAAAATAATGGTCAAAGTTATTTTTTTAGACCATGCCCTTGTCCAAAACGATAAGTATTATCAACCCGCAAGGATTATATTCACATTTCCAATGACTTCTCATGATAGTTAAGTTACCTTCACACTATTTATTTGATGTTTCTAGTTACGTTAGAAGGAGAGATCAACTATTTGGGTGCAAGTATGCAACCAAATATCTATTTACACGTGCATTAATATTGGTATATCACTAATTTATTCATTAATTGCTTTATCCTATCTTTGTATAAAGTTGACGCACCCTAACTTCTAAAGATCAACATGCAACCATGCCACATCATTACCTACTAGCAGTATTTATATATTTAACCCCATACGAGCATACAATATCATCTATAATTTATTTAATTCTACAAATCAACGTGCAAGTATATCTATCATCATTCATCACATCATTTTCATAATATTTTAATAAACATATCTATAATTTTTTTAATATTTAATATATACTCATCAATATGTTACATATTAAATCACGGGTATTATTTGTTTGTTTTATAATAAGTACCGATAAACCCCCACGTTTTATTATTTTGTTTTCTTTTTACTCCTAGCTTGATTATCGAAAAAATATATTGAAAATTGCTTAGTAATTCTCGCAGCAAAGCGCGGGGAATCACCCTAGTTAATATTATCATGTACCAAAATAATAGATTTTGGCTATGCATTTGCATTACCGAAATTCCTTACGTTCCTAGAAGCAAGCAATATGTTTGAAAGTTTTTAATCACAGTATATTTTTCGTGTGATTATTAAATATCGTTATTGTAACTTAGAGCTCGCTATATGTGCTAATCTTCTATGTAGACATTAATCTGCTATCCATTGTTCGCTAGTTATTACTACTACCGCTGCTTTTGCTCTAATAACGGTCAACATACTTATTTTCTCGGTTATTTTTAGTATATCTATATCTACATCTATACTAATATAAAAAAAAGGAGTTGCATCTTTTGCTAACTGCATCTAAGAAAATGTACACAAGACAACCACATCTCTATCCTCAACCATCCGATTTGCTCATCCAACGGCTGAAAACGGATGTGAGTCCTCTCTCTCTCTCTTACAATGCAAAGGTGAAATCACCGATTCCGCTTCACACCCGTTACACCGCGATCCTCTCCTCCACCCGTTACACCGCCACCACGCCCGCAGTTGTGCTATCCCCACGTGCCCCATGTAATGACACCACCGTGTCATCTTCTCCTCGCGCTACTCCAACTCCAGTCGCTGTGCCTTCTCACGAGTCACGACTACTCGCATGCCCCTGCCGTGGCTGGCAGGTTGCACCACACCAATCCGAATCATGCCCATCCGTACTCCACCCCGCCTCCGTATCCTCCCGCCACAAATTGTTTTGTGACACCTCAAATCAGCTTCACTCTGCCACCCATCTGCCGGAGCCACTTCTCAACACACCCTGGGACGGTCGCGCCTTCAGCTACACTGCAACCACGGTCGATCCCGTCTGGACCCTCCTCCACTCAACCACAGCCGCCACCAATCACTGGCCATGTCACCTCACCGTGTCGCTCATATTTAGGCGCAGAGGACCGTGACTGCAGCGTAGCGGATGGAGGAGTAGAGGCGGGCTCCCGGTGTCAGGTGTCGAGTGCTGGAGGCATTGCCGTCGTCATTGGTGCCCATCCAAGCATGGCGGGACCTCTAGATTGCGGCAACGCTACAGGAGGTGCGGTGACGAAGTCAGCGACCGGTGGTGTAGAGGTAGGGGGGACCAGTGTTAGCCGTGGCTGTGCCAGGGTATAGCCATGGATGCCGCGAGACAACAAGGAGGGTGTTGCCGTCGTCGACGCAAACATCGCCTCCATCTTCCATCAATCAGTCCTCCCCACTGCAACGCCGCACTAGGCGTCGGTCCTCCTCCACTATCACCGCCACCACCGCCATCCACTCTTCAACTGGTGATTCTCCGGTCCTCCCAAGCAGCAAGCACTGCAACTGCAAATGACAACCCCGGCCATCACCACCACTTCGCCACTTCACCACTCCATCGGTGGTCTCTTCGAATATAAACGATTTTTCGTATGTTCACGAGTAAATCCAAGGTTGTGCAGTCCATCTGCTTCTTTGGCTGTAAGATTAATGGTTGCTTTACTTGAAATGCCAACAGATTTTACAAGTTCAGCATTTGCAATATGTGCTTCTATAACTTTCCTTTGGGATCTTAAATAGTGGGCCTGATCTTGAGGAGCAAGAATGTGGATATGTGCAGCTACAAATTCATAAACACGATATAATCAATTTCTGAGACTTATCTTCATACGCGCTTCACAATTGCATCGAGTTTCAGGCCTATTGTAATTGAATGTCTCTTCTCTTTTATCCTCAGCACGTGCTCCTGTTTATTATATAAACAATCGGTTTATTTTATCCCTAGAATGAATGTAATGAAAACAAGTTTGTTTAGTCAATACCTTCACGAGAACAACAAAATGCGCGTTGTTTTATTGTAGAAGAGTTTTTTTACCAAGTGTTGAATGCCTCTTTTGATGCTAAAACCTATCTTGAAAGTGTACTTATTATAAAAGTCATAATCTTCTTGTTCAGATAAAAATTGCATACCTAGCTTCGGTACATGTTCTTGAACGGGACCTATATTTTTTGTATCTATAGTTTCCTGAATGCCCTAATTTTGCGAAAAGTAGCCATAACCGGAAGGAAACAGGTCAATCAGCCAATGACTACAAATCTAATAAATAAAGTTTTGCAATAATACTTTTGTCTATGTTTTGGTTTCTGACAGTTAGCTAAGATTGCATTACAGGTTTCTACTTTAGAGTTTACGACCCACACTCTACTTCACATTTCATTTCTATCATGGGAGATATCAAATAATTGCAGTAATGATTCGAGAAGAGAGAGAGAATAAAAAATGGGCAGCCTAACATTATTCATGTACTTTGTAGTTGAATCCATCAGTAGTGAAAGATATTTTTCTCATAAACAGGGTTGATCGGAAGTTAAAAAACAAGAATGACAAAGAATATAAGTATCATATGTTACTTTTTTTGGTTTGATCATTTAGAGTCTCATCCACTGCTTCAAATTTTGGCATGGATATTGGTGGCTTGATGGTGTATGATCAAGTGAAGATGTGTGAGAAAATTGCCGAGGGTGATGCTTCTGTTGAAGCAGATATATGGCCTATTTGGGAGAGTTTTTAGTAGCTACAGCTTCTCTCAGAATCATAAACTCCCCCAAACAGTCAAGCTTTTAATCCATATTTTGAGAATCTGTAGTTGTAGAATCCAGAAAATGAACTAGAAGCCAGAAGTTGAGAAACCCGATTTTTCCAGATTCTCAGAAGCTGACTACCAACTAGCTGTCTCTCATAATCTTAACCTCCTCCAAATAGGCCCATAGCTAGTTTTGTTGGTGCGAACTAGAAAGAATTTTCCCTCTAAAATACAGTGATATATTGTTAATTACCTGCCGTTAATGATGGGATTCACCTGTTATGGTTGTGGGCCAGGGGGGAAAAAGCTGGGAAACTCTAGGATTGCGCCATGTGTACAGGAGCGTGCCGACGGATCAAGTAAGCAAGCCGCGTCCGTTCAAGTTGCTATGAGAACTGCCAAGCAATCTAATAGACAAAAATTGCGCTGGTGCTAGAAGATTGTATGTCCATAAGTTTATGTAGTTCACATGTGTTTCCTAAGTGGTGAAGATATTCAAATCTATGTCTGTCATCGTAACTACACATGTTCGGGAGGTGAGGTTGGGAACTCACCTCCCACGTACGCAAAACAGAACACTGCATTTTCCTATGATTAATTAAGTATTTATTATTTTTTTGAAAAATAAATTGATATGATTTTTTAAAAAATTTCATATAGAAACCTTTTAAAAAAACGCACCGTTTAGCATATTGAAAAGCGTGCGCACGAAATACGAGAGAGGTGAGTTAGGAAAATTGGGGGAAGAACACAACCAGTTGTACTCCTAAGTCAGTAGTGTAAAACTAACTAATTATATTCATAGAACTTTATTTGCCAGAATTATGGTAGCATGCTATATTAGTTAATCAGGCCCATTTTTCTTATCATGATCCTAGCGAAGATGTTCTTAATATAATAATGTATTGAACTAAATCTCTATTTGCCAGATGACCAGTGATTATTCATTGGTTCTCTATATTCTGTTACTTATATATATATATATATATATATATATATATATATATATATATATATATATATATATATATATATATATATATATATATATATATATCTTAATACAAATTTTTTTTTATTGAAGCGAATGCATGAAAGAAGTTTAGATAGCCAATTCTGATTTTACTAACAAAAGATAAAAAGTAGTACAGGTAGGACCAAAGTCAATTAGCCTAACAAAAGGTTTAAAGAGTGAATTAAAAAAAATCATAAGCAGGTGGTGTGTCATTAGCGCGCGTCCCATCCTCTGGTTAAATCTAATCCATTAGATTATACCCGATGTACGGCTCTTTTGTTCCATATGAAAAAAAAAGAATCCCATTTCCTCAGCTTGAACACGAAGAAGCTGCAACTTTTGTTACCGGCGGCTGAACATGGCAATTACAAGCAGGGCCCACACGGGGCTTGACTGACTTTGGCTCTTGACTCCATTTCTCCATTTCTTTCTCTTCCTCCTGCGGCCGTGGGTTCCCCTCTATCTCTCTCTCTTCGTGCAGAGTGGCTTGTGCAGGTCGGGGCGATGGGTCGAGCAGTGAGGTTAGTCTCCCTAATTCGCAGATTCGTTGTAGTGTTCGATTTGAAAGCTCGGAATTGCATGGTCGAATTCGGGAGTTGATCGGGTTCTGGAAGCCCGTGAGTTTGAGTGCAAATTGTATGATTTGTTCTTTTTTTTTCTTCAATTTCTTTGTAGATGAGCTGAGAGGAGGAGTTGGGACTTGGAATTGGACGATCAAATTGAGCAGGAAGGTGCTGTCCAGTTTCATCAGGAAACGACAACAGAGTAGCATTCCCCTTCTCTGCAGTTTCTACTGGTTAATTAGTAAGCACACATCTCATCATCTACCAAAAAAAAAAAAAAAAGAAGAGCAAGCACACATCTAAGTATTTATACAAGACTTGTCTGTACTTAATTTCGTTAGTTGAGGTGTCAAGATTTGATCGTCTAAAAAATGGAAGCATACCCAATTATTGCAGGAGTAGTTTCTATAAGTAGTTGGGATAAGTCCATTTTAAACCCCCAAACTTTTACCTTTGTCTAAAATACATCCCTAAACTATAAAACCGGGTATTTGACACCTCCAATTATCAAAACCGTTTAAATGACCCCCTCGTTTCAGATTAGACGGTTTTAGCCTGCGTGGCAAATGACATGGCATTCAGATTAATTGTTTTTGGGTCCAATCTTCTTTTTTTTTTGACATGCCATTCAAAGTCTTCGGTTGTGCAAATGGAGCGAGGCAACCGGTGATTACGGAGCTAGCTCGCGGACACCGGTTGTGTTGATCCTGTTCTTCGCATCCATCCATTGCCGCTGGTCGCACCGTCCTCGACTTCCGCGTCCATCATCTGGCGTTGCGTTTCCCTCTCTTCCCTCCCTCTACTCACTCACCGCTGAAGAGCACAGTAGAGCCAACCCCCTCGGCCAAGATTGGAGAAGATGGGGAGATGAAGGGGTGGGGACGAGCACGGGGATGAAGGGACAGGGGCCGTGGCGTCGCCGTCGCGGCGGAAACGAAGACGGATGCGCGCTGGTTGTCGCCGGCGAGCTCGAGCTCCTCCTCCCCGAGCGACTCCTCATCCTCAACCAGGCGGCAACGACGCTATGCTGGGATGACTCCTCGTGCGTGTGGCTCCGGCGAGGTCCGCGTCTCCCGCGCGGGGAGAACAGGCTTGTGATTCGTGAGGGAGGCGGCAATGATCTCCTCGACCTCTCGCTACTCCAGGCGCCGCCCCATCAGATGATATCTCGCGTCGTCGCTCGCCGCTCGCCATAGCATCTCCCCCCTCGGCATGGATGTTGATGGATCATCAAGGGGGTGGGGGCGGTGGGTGGGTGGAGCCGTGGAGGGATGGAGGGAGGGAGAATGCCGGGGACGAAGCTGACGGAGGGAGGGAGCTCGCCGGCTTCTCAGCGAGCTTAGGGAAAAAAAGGAGGATTGTTTGACTGGTGAGACCTATACTGACGTGGTGTCCAAAACCAGTCTAAAACAGCTTTAGGGGGTAAAATGTCCGGTTTTGATAGTTGGAGGGTGTCAAATACCTGGTTTTATAGTTTGGGGGTATATTTTAGACAAATATAAAAGTTTGGGGGTGTAAAATGGACTGAGTGGAAATTTCTATGATTGCAGAAATTGAGGCATGGAGGTCACAGCAGGGGCGATGAGAGCTCTCCTCCCCAAGCTTGCTAAGCTGCTCAAGGATGAATACAACCTTGAGAAGCATGTGAGGGAAGGGGTCAAGTCTCTGGAGATAGAGCTCACGATGATGCATGCTGCACTCCGTAAGGTGGCTGAGGTGCCCCTAGACCAGCTAGATGATCAGGTCAAGATCTGGGCATCCAAGGTGAGAGAGATCTCGTACGACATGGAGGATGCCGGTGATGCATTCATGGTACGTGTGGAAGATGACTCCCATAGTGGGCCCAGTACCTTCAAGAACAGAGTCAAGAGGCCTATTAAAAAGATAAGCAAATTGTTCAGAAAGGCAAAGGAGCTCCATCAGATTGCTGATGCCATCAAGGAAGCCCAAGCCCTCGCGCAGCAGATGGCTGGGTTGCGTGAAAGGTACAGCGGACTCGAGCTGCAAAACAGCGGCATGGTTACTAGTACTATTGATCCACGCTTGACAGCATTGTACATCGACGCAACAGATCTTGTTGGTATAGATCACGCTAGGGAGGAACTGATCAAGACATTGACAGAAGGTGAAGATTCATCCAAGCAGCAACTGAAGATTATCTCCATCGTTGGCTTTGGAGGACCGGGCAAGACAACTCTTGCAAGAGCAGTGCATGAGAAAATTGAAGCACAGTTTGATTGTTCGGCTTTTGTTTCTGTCTCTAGGAATCCTGACGTAAGAATGATTTTCAAGAAGATGCTTCATCAATTGGACAAAGTAAAATATGCAAACATCAATGAATCATCAAGGGATGAAATACAGCTCATTGACGAATTGAGAGAATTTCTTCAGGACAAGAGGTACCCATGACCGAACAGAGAACATATACCTTTCTTTACCTTCTAGGATAAGCATAAATGATGATTTCTGCTCAATTGCTTAAGCCGATCCTTTTTTAAAAAAATATATATATCTTTAGCTGCGGGTATTTCATTTCTTTGCTACGCAACATTCTTTTTTTTTTCTCTTTTGTTAAATAATCTCACCATTATTTTGGAGTCTGCATGGATGCATGTCTTTAGTACTGTGTTGGTAATCATTGTATATAAATACATTGTTCTTATAAGTATCTACTCCCTCCAATTCGATAATACTTGTCATTTAGGACAAATGCACGGTCTTCAAAAGACAACTTCGGCCACTATATATATATATATATTGCACTCGAGCACACATGCACCCACAATCTACACACTATATATAGGTTGCACGAATCTTAGAGCAGGTACATTAGGTACTAACAAAATGTACCATCACATGATGTTTACTTTATACAATATTTTTTACAAGTGCAAAATACCTTGTTGATGTAATTTTTTTTCTTATATGTAAAACATTGAGGTTATCAAATTATCAGATCAAATTTACCTTGTTTATATAAATTACCTTGTTTATATAATTACCTCATTTATGTAGTTTTGGATGGTAGGATATATCATTTTTGCAAGATGATAATTTGGTGATATAATAGATGTAACATTTTCTCATGTTGACTAAATATCATGTTATAAAAAAATAAGGGTTAGAGAAATATCATGCACAAATTTCATATATAATTGTTATTGAAAAAAATATTTGGTAAAAAAATGCAACATACTTATTATATGTGTTGTGTACCAACCTAATCTTTTCTTTTTATAGTAAGAATTCATTTGATCAAGGTTAGGTACATTTTGCAGCACGAATCTTGGAACACATCAACGGTGTAGATTGTGGGTGCATGTGAGCTCAAATGCAAATCTGCATTTTCCTATATATACAACGAATATATGGTTTTATCATTGTATCTTTCAAGATTAATCTATACATATAGTTTCCATGCTTGTAAAGTAAAACATTTTAAAATTTATTTATAGTCAAAGTTCTAAAATTTTGAGTCTTGTCCAAAACAACAAGTATTATGTAACCAGAGGGAGTAGCATTTTTCTCGTCTAGAATCTGACACTTCTTAATTTAATATTCCCTCTGTCCCATTTTAAGTGTAGTTGTGTATTTTCGTGTCCAATGTTTGATCGTCCGTCTTATTTGAAGATTTTTTAAAAAAATACGTCACGCATAAAGTACTATTCATGTTTTATCATAAGTGAAGTGCACCAGCGGTCCTTAAATTTATGTGGGTGTGTCATTTAGGTCCCTGAATTCTCAAAATGCATTTTTGGGTCCCCGAACTTGTCATGGGTGTCATATAGGTCCATCCGCTAACGTGACATGCCACGATAGCGCCTACGTGTCAGTGGGGACCCCACATGTTAGTCATATGTATAAAAATAAAATTAAAAAACTATATTTCTTCTCTTAGGTAAAGAGGAAAAAGATAAAATTTAAAAATATTAATTATAAGGTAGAGAGGAGAAAAATATGTTTTTAAATTTTATTTTTTTCTATGTGAATGCATGTGGGTCCCCACCGACATGTAGGCGTCACCGTGACATGCCACGTTAGCGGATGGACCTATATGACACACAGGACAAGTTCGGGGACCCAAAAATGCATTTTGATAGTTTAGGGACCTAGATGACATACCTATACAAGTTTAGGGACCGTTGGTGCACTTTACTCTTTTATCATCTAATAAAAAAATACTAATCTAAAAATTCAAAAAAGATAACGGTTAAATGTTGGACACAGAAACCCACAAGTGCAATTAAAATGGGCCGGAGGGAGTAACGACTTCCTAACTAGGAAAAACATCAAAGCTACAAATTTTATATATATTTGTTTTCCCTGTTAATGCCAAATTCTCACAAGCTAATATTCAGGTACTTTATCATAATCGATGACTTATGGGACGAGAGAGTATGGGACTATATCAAGTGTGCTTTTCCTAAAGACAATCTTGGCAGTAGGTTAATCATCACGACCCGCAATGTCAATGTATCTAAAGCATGCTGCTCTGCCAATAATGATATAATCTATAAAATGAAACCTCTTTCTGAAGATGACTCCAAGAAACTCTTCTATAAAAGAATATTTCCTCATGGGAATGGATGTCCTTGTGAACTAGAGGAAGTATCCAATGAAATTTTGAAAAAATGTGGCGGTGTGCCATTAGCCATAATTACTATAGCAAGCCTTTTGGCTAATAAGGAGTTACAGACAAAGGATCAATGGTTTACTTTGCACAATTCTATTGGACGTGGACTTACAGAAGGCCGTAATGTTGAAGACATGCAGAAAATATTATCTTTCAGCTATTATGATCTACCTTCACATCTGAAGTCTTGTTTATTGTGTCTGAGTGTATTCCCAGAAGATTATGAGATTAGGAGAAACCGGCTGATATGGAGGTGGATAGCAGAAGGTTTTGTGCAACAAACACAAAATGGTGGTAGCTTATTTGAGCAAGGTGAAAATTACTTTAACGAACTCGTAAATAGAAGCATGATCCAACCCATTGATATCGATGCTGAAGGCAGAGCAAAAGCTTGTCGTGTACATGACATGGTGCTTGATCTCATATGCCACATGTCAAGCCAACAAAACTTCATCACTGTGTTCAATGATATTGGGAATATCACATGTTCACGAAACAAGGTACGCAGGTTATCTCTCCAACATAGCACCACAGAGTGCAATACCCCTTGGTGTACCCTGACTATGCTTCAAGTGAGGTCCTTCACTATGTTTAGTCCTGCAATTAACTTAATGCCATCCCTTTCAAGCTTTAAAATGATAGGAGTATTGGATTTGGAAGGTTGTGACTTCACCTTAGATACCTAGGACTACGAGACACATACATTATAAAATGGAATAGTAAATATGCAGAAAGCCATACCGCCACATATGTTGGTCACGAGCTCTCAGTGCAAATTGGCAAACTAGAGTTTTTGCAGACACTGGACTTAGTTGGATCTCGTATAAACAAGTTGCCTGCCACTATTGTTCAGCTTCGACGTTTGATGTGCCTACGTGTTAGCTTTGACACAAGGCTGCCAGACAAGCTAGGCGAAATGACATCGCTAGAAGAGTTGTCGAGTATCTCAACTAGTAAATGTGTAGACATTGTGAAAGAGCTGCGCCAACTGACCAGACTGAGAGTGCTTGCCATCGAATGGGAAGAAGTGGGTGAGAAGCAGGACAAAGCTTTAGTAGAGTGCCTGGGAAGTTTGCACAGGCTGCAGATCCTGAATATCTACGCATTTGGTGGATGTCTGAATCTGATGCAGGAAGGCTGGATGCCCCCTGTATCTCTCCACAGATTTCTGTCCAAAGGATCTACCGGTTCGTTCTCGACTCTGCCGACATGGATCAACCCATTGCTCCTCATCACCTGTATAGACATGTGGGTTGATCAAGTGCGACCGGGGGATATACAAATCCTTGGAGAACTGGCAGCATAGAGGAGCGTGTAGTGGAGAGATTTGTGGTCAGCACCAACGCCTTCCAACGCGCGACAGAGTGCCATCCATGTTCCCACGAGGAGCCATGCCGAGGGTTAGGTACCTTGAGTTCAGCCTCCGAGCATGGGACAACGACATGGCCATCGGTAATGGTAGCAGTGGTGATCTCGACTTGGCCATGGGACATCTCCCTTCACTGGAGCGTGTGAGCGTTACGCTCTTGGTGCACGAGGTCTGAGGCGTGCAACCGAGGTCCACCCCAACAATCCAACCCTTGTAGTCCGTAGATGGGATGATCGACATATTCGGGAGCAAGAGAATAATCTGGCAGATAAAGAGGATGATCTGCTAGAGGAAGATGACGAAAAGGAGAGCTCACCACCCTCAGTCACGACTGACATGTAGCAGAGCAAGAAGATGGTACTCGAGCTTCGTCTGACGAAGAGAAACAAGAGGAAGACGTATGTACCTTAAAATCCTCCAATAGCAAGCGTGAGCTTCCATTCCATTGTAAAGATCACAGCTGCTAACGCTACATATGATTTCCTTCCCATATGTACTACGTTTTGCTTCTCGTTTCTTTCTATCTTGATTTCAGTCGCCATATGTGCCATGCAGGTATTACTAGTTACATAATTCATTTGTTCAGTCTACGAGTTAGTAGTGTTGCAATGCTTGCTATGATGTGTAAAATGCAGCAGCGCAACGTAGGAGCCAATTTAGAACAACAGAAAAAATGGGAACTCTTTTCAAATACAATTTTTAGTCATCCTTTTTAATTTTACTCCTCAATTATAAGTTTATTCCTTTCCTTCCTTTGGGAAATATGGAATTTCATTCTCCATTTTTTATGCTACTGATGCATTCAGCATGCTCGTGAGTCCGTCTCAGTCTGGAGCACTGCATGAGCGATACATTGTTGAATAAATTAAGTGAAAGTGCTCTGTTTCTGGTACAATTTAGCTAATTCATACATGAAAAACATGTCCTCTTGCAGCTAGCAGGCAGCATCTTCCTCGAGATCGACATTACAATTGACAATATGTCAATGTATGCTGAACTGGCTGTAATTGGATTCGTTTCAAATGATAGAAATCGGATGGATGCATTACATTCATCAGGGGACGACGTCGAGACGAAGCTCACAATCTCCACATATTTTGATATGGTTATTGTTGGATTCATCTACTTTGTATCTGTTCTGTCACTTCAAGTTGCCCAATGTTTTTAGGGTTCATCCTGCGTGTTACTTTACTGGTTTGGAAGGACATAAACTTCAGTTTACTGCTAGAACTCTAGCTAGCTCCTAATGAACATGTTATCCCCTATTTTCCTTTCAATTAAGGAGGATTCTGATGTGATGAATGCTCTTGCCTATCGTTAAGTGCTGTGTTACATCACAGAATTTTGTCATGAGATTCTGTAAAGATATATAAACATAACTGATCTTTATCTATGGCAATGTTCTGCAAGTTCAGTTTTCTGAAACTTAAACTGAAACTTGTGTCCCCAAGATTAGTTTTCATGCCTTTAAACAGTTATAAAGTTTTCTACTAAATCTTTATAGTACACATCGAGATATACATCTGAGATCACAGGTATTACTACCATTGAACATTGATCAAAATTCAGAAAGAACACAAACATTGCGCCATCGCCGGCGGCGAACATGACGTCATTCCAGGCCGTCGATCTTGCCGGCGTGCACGGCGACGTCGTGGTAGGCGAAGAAGAGCCCAGTCATCCTAATGAACACCTGGCTCGCCACCAGGCTCTTCTCGCCGGCCTGCCGGGGCTCCTCCACCGCCGCCGCCGGCGCGCCCAGCACCCTCGCCACCCTCACCAGCCCGCCGCGCAGCTCGACGCCGTCCATCGGCAGCCGCGCCGCCACGTACTTGGCGTCGTACACGACGCCGAGGTGCCCGCGCAGCCGCGACGCGAACCCCTCGGCCGTCTCCGGCAGCGGACGCCCGCCGTCGAGCATCTTGAGGAGGAAGCCGAAGTCGTAGAGGCCGCCGAACGCCACCCAGGTGAGCCGCCCGAGGTTGGCGGCGGACACGATGTCGAACACCCGCAGCGCTTGCCCGAACACCGCCGCGGGGACGCCGCGCGCGCGCAGGTGCTCCAAGTCGACGCCGGCGGCGCGGAGGGCGTCGACGGCGGACTGGCTCACGTCGAAGTCGGAGAAGCCGACCTGCCACGCCATCTCGACGGCGACGGCGGCGCCGCCCGGGCAGGCGATCGCGGTGGCGGGGAGGCGGCCGTGGTGGTCGCAGAGCGTGATGCCGAGCTGGAGCACGTCGAGCTCGTCCACCCTGGACTTGGCGAGCCTGTAGCACCGCTCGTCGGCCTCGCTCTCCCTCTTGTTGCCGCGTCCACCGCCACGGCGGCGGCGGCGGCGCCTCCCGTGGCGCGCCGCGGCGTTGTCGACGGGGTAGTCGGCGTGGATGGTGATGTAAGGGAAGTAGGGCAGGTGGGAGCGGATGGTCAGCATCTCGACGGCGAGGTTGTCCGCTGTCACCCGCCGGATCAACACCTCGCTCACCGGCTGCGTGGCCGACATCGCCGGCGTTGTCGTGGCGGGGATTGCGCGGTGGCCGTAGACGGCGAGGTGCGGGCGGCGCGTGTTTGGCGCGAGTAATGTTATAGGAGGTTGCGCCTAGTCCGAGTGGGACTAGGACACCAGAGTCCTACTCCTTTTTTGGCCAAGAGTAATCTATCGGGCAAACCTAGCTAGGCGACGCGCGTTTCGGCGGGTTAGGTTAACTAGTTACTTTCTCCGTCCTATTTTGAGTTTTTGCTTGTAATATTTAATCACTCGTCTTATTCAAATTTTTTTAAAAATATAAAAAACGAAAAATTATGCTTAATGTAATGTAGATAATAAAGTAAGTCACAAATAAAATAAATAATAATTTCAGAAAATTTTGAATAAGATGAGTGGTCAAACGTTGCAAGTAAAAACTCAAAATCTCTTATATTATGGGACAGAGGGAGTAGTTATTAAGGATAGAATTAAGATAAAATTGTCTTTTATTTATTTTTACTACTCCCTCCATCCCTAAATATTTGAAGTCGTTGACTTTTTTAAACATGTTTGACCATTCATCTCATTCGAAAAATTTAAGTAATTATTAATTCTTTTTCTATCATTTGATTCATTGTTAAATATACTTTTATGTATACATATAGTTTTACATATTTCACAAAAGTTTTTAATAAGACGAATAGTCAAATATATTTTAAAAAGTCAACGGTATTAAATATTTAGGTAATGAGGGAGTAATAGATAGAAAACTTTTAAGTTAGATTTGAAAACTTTCGACTTAAGATTTGAACTTTGAAGTTAAATTTTAAAACTTTCAAATCAAACTTTGAAAATTTTCAACTCGAAATTTAAATTAGTAAGACAAATTTCGAAAATTTTTAACTCAGATTTGAAAACTTTTAACTTTGGTTTGAAAACTTTCAACTCAAATTTGAAACTTTCGATTCCAGATTTGAAAACTTTCAAGTCGAGATTTGAAAACTTTCAACTCAAATTTGAAACCTTTCGACTCCAGATTTGAAAACTTTCAAGTCGAGTTTTGAAAACTTTCAACTCAAATTTGAAACCTTTCGACTCCAGATTTGAAAACTTTCAAGTCGAGATTTGAAAACTTTTAACTTCAGATTTCAAAACTTTCAACTTGAAAAACTTTCAACTCGGATTTGAAAACTTTCAACTTAAAAACTTGAAAACACGTGTGCTTAGATTAAAAAAATCGAAAAGAATGCAAAAAAAATATAGAATATGCGCCGAGGGGAGGGACGATAAAATTTGAGAAAAAAATCGCGCCAAATTAGGAGGGAAAAAATCGTGCCACAAAAAGAGAAAAAACATCAAGGAGAAAAATCGTGAAAAAAATAGAGGACACGTGGTGAAGTGGAGGGCACGCGCTGCGCCAATTAGCAGTTTCGTAGCCTATCAGGTTTAATTAAATTTTAATTCTAAATTTGGATTGAGTAATTTAATCATTTTTTTAGGTAGGAAAATATCTGCTTTACCGTAGAACACTAGTAGTATAATTTTATGGTTATTTGTCAAAGATGATTTGACCACTATTTTAATATGTCATCTCCTAAAGGAGATAAAAATTTGAAAAAGATGACTTTGGAGCATCTTTAAAAGAGACCTTAAATTCAACCCCTAATCAGTCCGAGTGGGATAAAAACACCATAGTCCTACTCGTTTTTTTATTAATTCATGAAGAATAATCTATAAGGCTAATTATTTTGGATTTTAAATTTAGAATGAGTGATCCAATTTTACTAGGTTTTATCGCTTTTAACCCTAAACCCCAATACATGTTTAAATCAAATCACACTCGAGAGTAGTAAGTACGGCCACACAAAACAAGTCATTAACACATAATTAATTAAGTTTTAGTTATTTTAAACATGAAAAATGGGTTTATATAATATTGTATATCAACTTTTATATATAAAGCTTTTACACGAAATAACGTGCTAACGAAAACCGAGATAAAATCTGTAGTTTAATCAGAAATGTACGGGACCTAACTGCAACATAAAAAATCTAATATATGCAAAATCTAAGAATATCAACTGAAAACGGCGTGCAACATCCCTAACAACTCCTCAGTTTCAGCATCAAAGATGCACTATGTGCTACATCAAAGAAACATTGCGTTCATGCGTTGCGTGCAATATCCCTGGCAAAACATCAAGAGGAAATACCAATTTCCCCCTTCCTACATTGCCGTAACTGGAGAAATAACGGCTTAACACGTTGTTTTTTATTGGATGGATAAGGGTAGTAACTACCACATCTATCATTTATTCTCTTTTTATAGAAGCCGGAGAGAGGCTTAACTCAGGATTCATCCTTATTTTCACAAACTGCTTTACAATAGAAAAATGCTACACGTACGTCCGAAATGTCCGACTCCTGTACGACTGCAACATCCGTTCATGGCTTGATCCCCGCGCTGTTTAATCCTCCAACTCATTGAGCCTCACGCCGTTGTCCATTTGCTGTTTTGCCATTTAGTCGTACGTCGGTGGGACAAGAAAGTCGGATGTATAGCAGGGTTCTTTACAATATTGCAGCACCATGGGTTCGCCAGAGAGTTGTGGGTCTTCTATTGATCATAGATATCTAGCGATGCCTAAGTGCATGGTTTATCTTCTGAGAATATATTCTTTCATAGTGATTTGTCATTCACCGTAATTAGTTCTGGACTCTTTTGGAGAATTATTAAATTATTTGATGACCTTGAAATATTTTGCCATTATTCAATGTGCTCATAATAATATTAAGATTTATGTCTACCATGCTTGAATAATTGATATTAACATCATAAGATTTTAAATAAGATTTATATTTTTAGATTCACCTTAGAAACACTTCCATAATGTATAATTTTTTTTGACTGAAAAAGGTAGAGAGGCTCTACCTTATAACCATTTTATTAATGGTAGTCAAGGTGTTACAACAGGAGTACAAATATCGGAAGAGAACTGAAAAAGAAACAACAGCAGGAAGAGGAAGGAATAATGTATAATTCAGAAGTTAAACCACATGAACTTCTAAAATTTGATTATCAAAGATATAAATGTACTTTGAACTAAGCTAGAGCAACAATTTAAAATGGAGTAAATAACTTTATCCTTTTGTAATTTTTAAAAACTTGCACAGAATTCAAAAATGTTGAAAGCTAGCTGGGGCCCAGTACCACATGAAGTAATACAGAATAAGCATTACATACTTGGAAACAAAAGAATGAATCTTGCCAAGCCACAATAAAAGAGAAAGAACGGCATCAAACAGTGTGTGAAGTTTTTTTTCGCTTGTTATTATCTCCACTGATTTAATGATTTTCATACAACAGAACATATAAGCTGGAAAACTGAAGCAAGGAAACACGGCTCCCAGTTCCCACAAAGCTTCACAGCTTCTTGTTGTCCACTGCCCATTAAGCTACTTACAACCGTCACTCATCTAAATCTAAACTTATAACCTAAAAAGGCACAACAAACGGCAGCTGATACATAAGAAGGTCAGGCAAATGGACTGCTCTGGGCTGCAGCGAGAAGAGCTGCTCGGTAGGCTGACACCTTGCTGATCCATCGAAGGTCCTGCAGTTATTTTTAGGGGTCGCCCGGCAGCTGAAGAGCCAGTCCTGGTCACCAACATCTGTATCTTCCATCTGTGTGGGTGATGGTTTCCAGTTCACAAACAAATCTGCAAGCTTCCTCCCTTTCTTCTCAGCCTTGCGGCTTTTCCGGTCAGAGCTGGACTGTTGTGCCTCTGTTACTGGGGATGCTGCTGCCAAGACACTTCCAACAGAACAAGGCTCTTCTTGTGCTTCGGGCACAATCTGTTGCTGCTGCTTGACAACAGGTGGTTCGACATGCGCCTTCGGTTTGTTCAACAAGCCAGGTGGCTCAACACACAACATCTCCGGCTTGCTTAACAAGATAGGTGGATCAGCACACACCTTGGGCTTGTTTAGCAGAGTAGGTCGCCCTGTGTTAAGCTGGCCCCCAAGTAGGGGACCTCCTGTTTCTTTCCTCAACTGAACTTGAGTACTCTCTCTGTTGAACACTTTCGAAAGAGTGATATGGCCAGCTATTTGCATTGCTTTCACAGGTGTAGCTTCAACCTCTTGCATCACCTTTGTGGACGTGGGATTAGCTCTCTGCATTGACTTCACAGGTGCAGCTTCAACCCCTTGCATAACCTTTGTGGGCGCAGGATTAGCTCTTTGCATCACTGCCTTCTCAGATGAAGGCGGATCAACTCTTTGCATCGCAGCAATCGGTGTTGACTTAGTTCTAACTCTCTGCACCATATTGACTCTTTGCATGGACTTTGCATCATGCTGCTGACTGACTTTTCTTGACTCATCCAAACAATTGCCATTCCTTATAGACATGTTCTTCTGTTGGGAGACAACTTGTTTCACCACTGACACTGTGTTGACATGAGGCTGGAACTCTCTCTTCCTATTGGCCATGGACAGATCCATTCCGGTTTCTTTGACTGGTGATTGTTCAGTAACTCTTGGTTTCATTGACATTCCTGTTGTTGCTTCTGGGTCTCTTCTTTGATTTGTAGGTGTAAACTTTACACGAATGTTAACACCTGCAAGGGCACATAATATTAGCATCACATATTGAGAAATATTGCTTATATAAAAAGAGGTTGCAGAAATAAAAAAGAAAAAACAGAAAAATCCTTACCATTTCTGGTTTGACTAGGGCTACTTGACACTTCAGTCCTCAGCCTCTTAGTGCTGTCCAGTGAGCTCTCTGGGGTACAACGCAAAGCCTGACTGTAGGAAGGAGCCTCATGCTCTTCAGAAAGACTGCTCTTCTCCAAATGCTCCATGGTAACATTACAAACTTTTCTTGTCTCCTCGCCAACTATTTCACAGCCTGAGTGCTTTCTCTTCTTATGGCCATGCTTAGAGTGATGATCATCTGTCTCATATTTCTCACCCAGCTGGGCAGCTTTCTTTTGTCTCCTTTTCTCTTTCTTCCTTTCCTTCTTTTCCTTCTTTTGCATCATTTCCCTTTCTTTCTGGAGCTTCAGCCACCAGATTAATCGTCAGTTCCAATTCAGAACAGACGACGGGAATGCAAAGAGGCATGAAAACAATGCACCAATATTGATACTTTTTCTAGCGTATAATCAATAATCCGGACTCAACAGATAAGAAACCAGTCCCCTTTGAATTATCCAACAATGCTTACCTTCAACCTACAAAGTTCACTAGAAGTCTAGAACTGTTTCGCAATGGACTCGTTCTGTTAGTCACCGTGTCAAATACCCTGCTATGTACTTACCAACCAGCACAAAGTACAAACAAGCACCCATTGTACTATCAAATAGAGCAAAATGGCAACAAAATTTGCACACTTCAAACAAACTACAAGACGATCTGGCTAAAATAAACTCCAAGACAAAGGAAAGCAAAACGGAACTGAAATATGATCTCACAATTTCACAAAAACATTAGAGCAAGCCGCAGATGAATAAAGAGCAAGAAACCAACATTTTAAAAGATTTCATTGTTTAAGAGAAAACATCAAACATATGTTGATAAAAAAAATTAAGTCAAGACATTAAACATTGTAAATAAAACATTTAAGGGCGAGGAAAAAAATGGAACCGGAAAACATTGAAAAAAAAAGTCAAGACAGATGGCAGAAAGGTTTTTGACAATGCAAAGTACACAATGGACATTTCCATAAACGGAAGTAACAGAGAAGAGGTCTGTAATTAGAAGCAAACAGCAACAAATTTCACTCTTATTGCCATTTGTGAGTGACTACATCTTGTTGTCACATTTTACCAAAAAGGACATTTATCTTGTATTACAAGATGTTTTCACCTAAGGAGGAAAAACAAAATCATCTTCTGCAATCAACGATAATCAACGACAGTTTCACCCAAATATAGCTGAACTTTTGCCTACCAGAGGCATTTGCATTCCATAATGGAAAACCATAAACCAGCAACAGGCACGGAAGACTTAACTAATTTGCAATCAATCAAGCACAACTTCTCCGCTCAATTTCCAATTTCCTGAACCAATTTTTCTTGAACAGAGAATTTCACCCCAAACAAACAGTTAATCCTGTTCCCCAAATTCTCCCCAAACAGACAGTTAATCCTAATCCCCAAACATAACCCTAATCCTAGTTTGTTCTCAAGAACATGCCACTATAATCCCAATTGAAGCAACCAACAAACAAGAACCCAAAAGCAAGCATGGCCAACAAACAAACAAACAAACAACCAATCACCCGTGCCTGCCTAATTACTAGCGGCGTTGGTCAGATCCTGCTCATAATCCTAATCCTAATCGCAATTAAGAGTCGATGATTCGACAGCGGCGGCGGCCGTAGCACAGCACAAATTCGGGAAAACCGAATCGGACTTTGCTCGACGGGCGAGCGAGCGAACGAACCTTATCGATCCCCGGCTCAACCGCCGCCGCCGCCGCCGAAGACATCGACTCCGCCACGGGGTTACGCGTGTACGGGAAGCACCTCGCCATGTCCCCCCCGCCCTACCGTCAACCAATCCTCCTCCTCCCCACAAAATCTCTCCGGCCTCTCTCTCTCGGTCTCGCCGCCGCCGCCGCAGCTGGGCTAGGGTTTCGCCGGCGAGGCGAGAGAGGAGGAAAGATTCGAGAGGAGGGGATTCGGTTCGGTGGGTGGAGGGGATCGGGTCGAATTTATAGGCGGCGGCGCGGCCCGTACGGAGAAACCGACTCGGACAGTCGGACGCGGTTTCCCATCCTGGCTGGCACGGGCGGGCGAAGCGGGGCCCACCTGTCGGTGGGCGGGCGACGTGGGCCCCACCTAACCAGTGGGTGGGGGTGTTTCGTATGGTGCCGCTCGGGCGCTACGTGGCGACCTTATTGTGGTTTTGGAGGAGGGAAATATCTGGCGCTTTCGTTGGAGAGGCAGGGCCCACTTGTCGGTGAGAAAGAGAATCTGACACGTGGGCCAGAGATCCTGTTAGCTCTATGTTGAATGTGTCTTGACCACAAGGGTTTATTTAGTACACAGCTTCGCTTGAATTTCGTTTAAATTCATTGCCCAGGATTTATAGCTCCTCCAAAATGCTCCGTTTTTCAATGAATTTTGAACAAAATTCATCAAATTTCATGAATTTCGCTCCAAATTCGTCATCTCGCAAGGACTGAATTCACTGGAGAACTCGATTATTGAATTTCGCTGACGAAACTAATTCATGTTAGTGCCAGTTTGACCGAAAACAAATACTGTCAACCCTGCTCAGAACACATCAATTCATTGGAGAACTCAATAATTCAACTGATCAATCACTGCTCTTTAAGATTAATGGCAGAAAATTCTCAGACATAATACTGGGAGCTGACTAAACTGTCTGGCAAAAAACATATAAAAGGAACTTAGAACCACAGGTATCTGCAACACAGAGACACCATCACCAGTCCAGGCCTCCGGCTCCTTGTGAGGCCCTTCACGCCGAAAACGCCATGGTTGAACTTCACCTCATCAGATCACTGATCAGATCAGGAGCTTCTCAATAGCGACCTGCAATGATTCATAAGGTTGAATAGAATTAACAAGCTGTGAAGGAGGTGAATGCAAAAGTTGGGAGGTTTAGCCTCTGAGAGAGGGCGGGGGTGATCCATCGGTCATCACCTTGAGGTTATTGATTGGATCTCTCAAGTTGCTGGCCTCATTGCTGGTCACCGAGCAGGCGATCACGGGCCTCGTCACCCCACATGCACGGCCGAGAGCTTGCTTTGATGGGACAAAGACGTATGGCACATTCTGCACATCGGTACAAATGAGTTCGGTACACCATTGAGGATGAAACTCTTCATGGTTTATGGCCAGTGGGCGTGCGTGTGAAAGTGAGATGCAAGGTCAAGATGTAACAATTCATTCATGATTTTGTATTCAGAAGGAACAATTGAGTGTAATAAGAGCAGTACAGCACCATCAATCAACTAAAAAATGATCCTACCGTATCTTGTAAAATAATGCAGTATAGAAGATACACTAATAATTTGTGGAAGAGTATACTCAACAATCATCAGTCACATTGGCAGAGTCAGGTAATATTGATGTGCTTCAAAAGAAAATATCACAATTTCACATACAAAACAGGGAAAACAAATTATCAACACATAAGTATCTTTTCCAAATTGCAACTAAATGTTCTTGGACAAGCTACTCGTCAGCAATTTGGAAAATTATCAAGGTAGTCTTAAGTCTTATCTATACATAATTGAACCTGAACCGAGTAGATCATGACAAAATAAAGCACAGGGCATCAAAAAAACTATCGGAATATACGCAATGTTGAATAATCAATAATCAAAATTTGTCAGCCAAATAATGCATGCACTGGATTCAGTACTAACAGGTATCAAATCACATTTACTGCCTAAATACTAACGACTCTATCACTTCTTGTGCTGTTTCATCTAAACCCTGCACCCCAAGCAACAGCTATCGAAACCCGCAACAATTAGAAAAAAAAAAAGAAGCATTGAGCAATCTGATGGACCTTGTCCTCGGCGAGGAGGGGAAGGTGGAGAAGGATCTCGAGGGGCTCGGCGTCGGCCGCCATCACCACGAACTCCGCGATCCCTCTGTTGAGCGTCTTCGTCGCTGCAAAAGCACACAAAACTCACACCCTTTTAGCAGCAGCAAGAACATCATAGCAATTCCACCCAAGAACCGAAAGCGAGAACTTACCTTCGTTGGCGCCCTTCTTGAGCTGCTTGTAGTTGGCGGCCTGGCTGACGAGCTCCTGGATCGCCTGCGCCAGCTGCGAGTCGGCGAGCGGGTACGCCTTCGGGTTCACCTCCGCCATCTTCGTCTGTGGCTCGTCGGCGGCGGGGGGTGGGAGGTGGGGTTTGGTCGTCGGCGGCGGAGGGGAAGAGAAGGGGTTAGGTAGGGTTTTATCTCCTCTTTTTATTAGGGCCTCGAGGGTTTAGCGGGCTGGGCTCTCCCAACATGGGATCCGTGGCCCATGGGCTGAGGTTGGTCCGGGTTGGGCCAGGCCAGCCTAGAAATAATGTTGTTCCTTCTATAAAAAAAAAACCCGAATGGCCATTTTGTTGTTGTTATTCTCTAGGAAGGACTTTGGGGAAAAATATTCTACTCCTACAATCCATTCAGGAAAGGAGAATTCGGTTGGGTTACATCAAAAGATCCCGAGTTTAGAGACATCTGCATCTGCATCAATATCAGGTTTTGAATGTAATTGAAGGCCGGGGTTTAACAACATCCTCACCATCAATTGAAATGTGCTTTGCACAAGCATCAACGCATTTTTGCTTTCTCAGTTGGACAGTCTATACACATGTAGATGCAATCTTGTTAGGACTACGTCCAAATCATTCATGTAACAGATCTCCTTTTCTTTCTTCTATCTTGACAAAAATGGCAGCAAAAATTGCCTTCCAGTCAGTCAGCGATTAGCTGGAGTCGCCTGTGTACTTCCATACCATCTAACCTGTTTAGTTTCTCTACAGTAGAAGCTAATGACAGCCATCTTCCTACTGGATTAGCAAAGACAGCCACGTGTGCACTCTCTCCAAGACAAGAAGGAACTCCGTTAAAAAAAAGAATAGAAGAAGGAAGAAGACTGTTCTAAAAAAAACAAGGAAGAAGACAAAAACATTTTGATACTTTATTTTCGATTTATATCTTCATTCAAAGAAAAAATATTTCGCATCTCTCACACTCCTTTTGTCCCCTTTTCACTCTAACCATTCATTCGAGTTGAAAATTTAAGTAAGGATACAGATATCTATATCCGTTTTGTTTTCGGGCCCTAACATTTCTTATATATAGAATTAGCCGATGTGAAAATTTAGATTTTAAATTTTAATTTGAAGTTGATTTTAAAACTTTTTCATTAAAGTTTAAATCCCTTGTATATATAAATTTTTAACTACAAATTATTTTAAATCGTGCGGCGTATTAATATTTAGTGTTTCGCCAAAGGGATAATTGTGCTTTTCAGTCAATTTGGTCCTTTTTTTTAACTTTACTCACTTGACCACCTTTTTAAAAAACGAAGCTGCCGCTTAATTGGCCAAATTCTAACCACAACGTTACATATGCATTCAAAAAATATAAAGTTTTCGGGTTACACCCGAGTGTACATGAACCTACAGGGTCGCGCGCTTAATGGGCCGGAATAAGGGGATTGGACGTAGATCCAATATGAGCTTAATTCGGATAGGGATCCGAATAGGAGTCCTTTGGGCCTTGGAGGGCCGAGTCATGGATCCTATATATTCGTGAGGGGTGTGACCGGTGGTGTGATTGCATCACGTGAGAAACCCTAGCCGCCACTCCTCTCCCCGAGCAAAACCCTATCCGCGCGCGGACGCTAGCACGTCTGCGCGTGGTGTTCCATCCCTGTACGTGTGGATACCGGTATAGGTGCCGCTGGTTTGCGGTGCTGATCGGTGTGAGAGCACGGCGAGGAGAATGCACGAGGAGGAGAACGTCGAGCTGCTGCGATCGACTACTTCCTCTACACCGACGCACGCTACATCCCAGACGTTCCTTCGGCTACTTAGCACTTACTTCCACTGCACAACACGTCGAGTGGTAACGATATATGATCTAATACTTGCATGGTCCCTGTTTTACGTGGTAGAAAATTTTTGTTTTATGCTATCGTAGCCTACGCATATCCCTACAGCTCAAACCTAAGTTTCGGAAGAATCTACCCATTGTGCGCTCGATGCCCCCAAAAATATTAGGCAATCAAATTTGCCAGTTGACTAACGAGTGAAACATCAAGTTATACTAGAAAAGATGCTCGTGCGTTGCAACGGGTAGATTCAATTTAATTTGTACATGTGTGTCAGTGGATAAATAATCACAGCCCATTATTTCGTTTATTCATGTGCTTATCTGAATCACTTATTACCAAATAAAATACTATTTATGTGCTAATCTTTTATATACATGTTGTTAGCGACTAAAAACAAATGATGTAAAATAAAGTACGATAAAAAACCAAAAAGTCGAATTCAAGATTAAGTTCTAAAATTTAAATTTTGGTTTATAGTAATAAGTATAAGCCAAACAATGAAGCCTTCAAACATGAGTTTGATTTGTCGTCCAGCTTTATCTCAAGTCGGGCAGGAGTTGATGACGGACGGATTCAGCAACTTTGATCATCCTTTATTTTAGCTGGCACGTTATTTTAGAAAGTAAAACTAATTCTTACGTACGAGCATGTGTGGAGACTGACTTAAAATTATGCTAACATGTTCCAGAAATCGTGTGATGTAATACGAATAGAATCAGATGATCTAGGCAACGACGTACATGATATCCACACGGACTCTGCGAGTTTCATTTGCTTGGTATCGACATCACACGAACTCTCTTTCACAGTTCGCTCACGAGTCGTGACTTTGCAATGAATGTTACACGTTACGGGAATCGGATACGGACAACGTCCCATAGTTTTAACAAAAACATCTTCAATCTTTAAATCATGAGCGAGGGCGGCGCTATCCCAATCGGACATGCGGCAAGGGCAAATCGCGCGTGAGAGCGTCGCGGGCCCAATTGGGCATGCGGAAAATCGTGTGCGCGAGGGTGTTGCGGGCCCAATCGCGGTGGCGCGCAAAGGTGCGTGTGGAAAACGGTCTCATGCACGCCCGATTGGTGCGTGAGGTAAGGGGCACGTGAAAAGGTGCGGCCCAATTAATTCGCATGCGTCTCGAATAAGAGGGACACTCTAGCGTAAGAAAAAAGGAACTAAAACCGATTCAAATACAGATTACAAACCAAAATTTTAGCGAAAACATCTTCAATTTTCATAATAGTAGAGATATGGTGAAAAAAAAACAACAACTGAAACATTTAAAAATTTTATGAAACATGTGAATAAACACAGTGAAACATGTCGCTATTATATATGAAACAATTAGTGTTAACATATTGAAACATATGTTTTTCTTTTATCAAAATATAATCATGTGATATATGGCTGTAAAGATTTAATAACAATAAATACAATGGTGTGACCGAATCATAGATTGGATAATTAGTTTAGGAGAAAAATCATTTTAAAGCTCGCCAAAATGCATGCATACGTGCATGGATGAGGTGGAGAGAGAGAATAGAGAATAGAGAATAGTGACGGGTACTTTCGGGAATTTTGGCAAAACACTGAAGACACACATTGAAACGTATCACTATCATGTATGAAACATTAAATTTTAACGGTTTGAAATATATATTTTTCTTTCACCATAATATAATCATGCGATATTTTGTTATAAATATTTAATTACAATAAATACAACAGTGTAATTAGATCGTAGATCGGATAAGTAGTTTATAAGAAAAAAACATTTTAAAGATTACTATTGGAACAAAAGAGGGAGCAGTAGTACACTAGTAAATTAGTTGTTGAAGCTGACCATCCGATATTGTTTGGTAGGATTGATAGACCGTTCATTGACATTCTCGCTAAGTTTCGTTTTTAAATAAGAGGATCAAATGAAAAAAGTTTTTAAAAAATAATGTCAAATTAGCAGTTAAGCTTTGAACCAGGGCTCAAAGCGCAATTAGCCCTTGGCCCAAAGACGAGGTCTTAGCCTTGATTTTAGTCCACGTAGAGATGGTGGGCCCACTTGTGTCGCAAGGTTTGTTTTGTCCGCGTTAATTAGTACTACGCCGTGTCCGGTTCGATCTGTCTTACGTACGCCCGCACGCCGAATCCGCCTCTGTTTCACTGACCCTGCATGTGGGCCCGCCCAATCCGAGTCGTATCTGGACACGGCATACATGCACGTGTACGTGCAATCACTATTTAAGGTGACAACAAGAATCCTCGGGGTTCATCGTTTTCATGCATTGTCTACAGGCGATGAACTTTCGCCGGAACTCCGCCGCCGGCGCCGCTCCGGTAGCCATGCCATTCGGCCCTCCGCCGCCGCCCATGGCCTTCTCGCCGCTGTACCGGTAGCCCTCGCCGTACTACTCGCCATACCCGGCTCAGTCGACGTTCCTGCCGCCACACGTCTACTTGCCACAACCGCTGATCAATGCCACCACGTACAACTTCGCCCAGGCGCCGGCGGCGCCCGCGCCGCCGCCGCACGTCAACGTGCCACAACCGGCGATGCATGCCGCCGCGGCGCCGGCGCCGCCGCTCTGGCTCCGGACCATGACGGCGGCGAACCTCGACTCGGAGATGGGACTGATCGGCGAGATGATGGTGCAGTACCCCTACGTCACCATCGACGTCGAGTTCGCCGGCGTCGTCCACCACCCGCCTTACACCGGCAGCCGCCCCACGCCGGACGAGATCTACGCCGCCTTGAAGTCGAACGTCGACGAGGTGCCCGCCGTCCAGATCGGGATCACCCTCTCCGACGCGGAGGGCAACCTCCCCACGAGATCTTCGTCTTCTCCTGAGCAGGAGATCGCGTGGGAGGTCGTCTTCTCCGACTTCGACGCCGGCCGCGACCCCCACGTCGTCGACTCCGTCGAGTTCCTCAAAAACCAAGGCATCGACTTCGACCTCGCGCGGCAGATCGGCGTCACCTCCACGGCGTTCGGAGAGAAGCTGCTCGCCATCCTGCCGCCGCCGTCGCGGCGTGGCGAGCTCACCTGGTCGGCGTTCGGCGGCGCCTACGACATGGGTTACCTGCTCAAGATGCTCACCGGCGGCCAGCCGTTGCCGGAGACGAGACAACAGTTTATGCAACTTGTCAAATCTCGGCTAGGCGGCGGCCGGATATTTGATTCAAAATATTTGGTAGAACACGACCGTCAAGATCTGCGCAATGCCGGGTTGAGGCACACGGCAGATGTTCTTGGCGTGAGACAGCAGGAGGGGGTGAAGATGCTGGCTGGGCACAAGAGCGTGGTAGCAGCTGCCATCTTTGCCACAATCCGGTCTCAGGGTGTTCACCTCCTGCATGGAGTTATCGATGGAATTTTATAGTCCATATATATTTGTAATCTATCAATAGATGCTAATGTATTGATTTTCATTTCGTTCAGAAAATCATATAGATTTTTGTGTTGTCGAATATCCTCACTGTAAATGAAATATGCAAAATAAAAGTTTTATTTATGTTATTGAGAAAATCGCTGAGAACTCAAGTCGATCGACTTCACGCAGCCGCACGCTGAGGGGAGTTAGACTCAATTCGGAAATACTCGCATCACACGTACGATTCAAAAACTATGAATTTCTGCCTCGAAACTCTCATCGGAAAAATTACAAACTTTCAATTCGGAAATATGTAAATTTTCATCTCAAATCATTAAATTTCAATTCAAATATGAATGTCCCATCTCAAAATTAAAAAAAAATACAATTATATATTAAAGCACTCAAAGTTTCACCTCAAACCAAAAGAGCCGGGATCTTTGCCGCAATCCGAACTCAGGGCGCTGACCTCTCGTTCACCAAGGAGTGTTTGATGGATTGTCATGGATAAAAATGTAATTCTAATGGAATATGATGCTGTGTATCTTTATTTCGTTAAGAAAACTGTACACATTTTCTCCCACTAGCAGCCTGCTTTAACTGCCATTTTTTGCACGAACACACACTGCTTGACGCCAGGTCCAACTCCCAATTCCAAAATAATCCTGGCAAAAAATATACATATGAGGGCCCTCGTCTTGTCATCGGATTACAATTAGATATATGCCATCCTTCAACAAACAAAAGCGGATTACTATGAGACCTTAGGCGGTTTTGACCTCAGTCTTTGTCTGACGTGGCATCTGAGTTAGTGGGACCCATGGTGACCACTCCTCTCTTTCCCCTCTTCTCTCACTCTTCTCTGGGCAGGCCGGCCGGCGGGGCGAGGTGGGAGAGGAGGGCGTCGGCGGTCAGCGACGCGGCGACGAGCAATGCGGCGGCGACGACACAAGAGAAGGGGAGGTGGCGGTTGCAGAGAAAGTAGGCTTGGAGGAGGGCCGCTGTCGAGGGATGAGGTGGGGCTAGCAAGGGGGCAGGGAGGCCTGCGGCGACCTCCTCACCGGCCGCAACATCGCCATCAAGTCATTCCCCAACCCCCGCCATGGCCTCCGCGGCGGCGAGGATCTCCATCCCGTACCCATCGAGCGGGAGGCGGCCATTCTCCCCAAGTAGCACCACCGCCACGAGGTCCACTTCGTCCTCGACCTCGCCGCTGGCGACTAGCTGTTCTCCCTGCTCGACGCGTCCAGCCGCATGATAGAGGACCTCGCACAACACTACTTTCGGAAGCTTATCTTTGCTGTCCGGTACTACCACTCTCGTGGCGTGTACAATCGCGGCATCAAGCCGGAGAATCTCCTCCTCAACAATGCAGGCGACCTCAAGGTTGGTCGCCCACTTCAGCCTCGGCGCCCTCCACCACACCCTCTGCGACAACCCTTTTCCTGCGTCGCCGCCGCCGCCACGGCGTCGCCCATCGCCGCGTTGCTGGCCCCCGATGCCCTCCTCCTCTCCCGCCTTACCCTGTCGGCCTCCTCCCCACCCGTCGTCCGGCCTGCCCAGGGAAGAGTGAGAGAGAGGAGGAAGGGAGAGAAGAGGAGAAAGAGAAGGTGATGATGTGGTCACCCTGACGTGCGACCCATGCTGACTCAGCTGTCACGTCGGATAAAACCGGGGTCCAATCCACCTAAGGACCTAGAGTAATCCAGTTTTGTTAGTTGAGGAATGGGACTATGACTAGAAGTGAATGGGGCTTTACGCATACCGCTTTACCATTTCAGTTCATCTTCCCCGAGCTCCTGATGGCTTTGTTCGGCACTTGTTCTTCCGCCTCCAGCTCTGTTCATCTCAGATACGTTCATCTCAGATATAATATAGAGTTTATGAGCTGTCTCTAAATTTGTGAGGGTGTGTTATCTAGGTTACCGAACAATAAAAGTACATTGTTGGGTCACACAATATGTTCATTTAGATCCAAACAGGCTCCAACACTAGTAAATACTCCCTCCATTCCAAATTGATCTACATATAATTTTTTTAGGTTATTCCTAAATGATCTACATATTTGTGTTCATTCATTAAGTCTATTCGTTATTTGTGTATTGGAGTAAATAGACATTGATGCATGCATCCATGCACATAAGTATTTATAACCCACATGCAATATCTTGATTTGCTATTGGCTAGGAAATAGTGGGGATGGTGCATGCATTGAGTTTGTTGCTAGAGTAAATATAGTATAAGAGAGTTATTAGCTTTTCTTGGTTTTGGTGTACCTATGAAATATGTAGATTAATTTGGAATGGGGGAGTAACTGTTTTTGTAGACGGCCAAAACCGATCTTTGCATGCGGCCTCTGAACTGCCCTCCGGGGGGAGCAACTTTCGTAGATACGAGCAGTTATGGCTTACCTGCAACGAGGGGCTCTCGTCTAGAAAATTCGTTTCTATAGTATAGTGCAACCCGCTCCATGCACTGATGTGGTATGACACAGTGACGTCCATGTGTTAGTGGAACCCAAATGCTAGTCACATTTAAAAAATATATTTTTTCTCCTCTCTCTTAGTCTCGGGGGAGGCAACCCAACCAATGTATAAGTTGTCTAAAAGTAGAACTTTTACTCCGATGCTCGAATCAAATGTAAAATATGAGTGCATACTTATGATATTCTTTTATGATCATTATCACTTGACAAGCTAGGTTTGCCCCATTCATGTCTAAATGCTGGTCCCGCCACTCTCTATTCGGTGAATCTTTATAAAATTACGGCTCAATCCCTGCATAATTATTAAAATTTTCATGTAGAGAGAAATATATTATAAAATTTTCTAATTATATGGTGTCCTAGTTCTAAGAATCATTATTGCAATATATTCGTCAGTTTGGATTAGAGAGGTTAGAGTAGTCAATGTCAAATTGAAAGAATCATGAATGGTTGTTGGATCTACTCAGAAGTTTGCCTCTGGGGACTCGATCTAGTTCTTTTGTGGTCTATCTAATGGTAATACTGATACAGGCTGTTATTTGCTGACTTAATTATCAAAAAGGATATTACTGTAGAAATTCAGAGTAGCAGAAGTGTAGATTGGAACGCTGACGGTGCAGCGATTACGTGTTAATCAGGCGCACTAAGCGGCGCAAGTAATACAGATATATATAAGCCTGGTTCGGTTGGTTTAGAGCTCCTAATTAATTACGTGGGATAATAATTACAATTTAAAGTTTTCTCTCTTAGAAGGATTATTGATCTATGAATATGCATGACCAAGCTTTCTCAAGGAGCGCATGCATAACCCATGCCATGATGAGATGATGAGAAACTGAAAAACGTTGTGGTCTTGATGCCCTCATTTCAATTGAGACTAATACATCAGATCGATCTATAAATATAGATGGTGCATTCTTGTTTGCTTGAGGTAGCAGTACACTAATGCATAGCTAATAAAGTTGATTCGAGGGTATGTACACACGAGTAACAAATTGCATGCTCATGCCTTTAAGAGATGGGATAGTAGAGGTTAACTGAAAAAGCACCAGACACTAGCATCCTTCGTTAAGATGCCCAACGGTGGCTCGCCACGGCTGGAAACCAGACACGATTTCCATACACAATTGAGGTCTAGGTTGTTAGGACGGCAACAGGATCTTTGATTCCAAATACATGTAGAAGTACGACCAACAAGATCTAAGATCTGCGTGATGCGGTATAGTCTCAAGTCTCGACAGGACACAACCACATGGAACAATGATGTTTGTTGGAAAAAAGAGTATATATCGTAGCCATATCTCCCAGGCTAATGAAAATCGTCACAGAAGGAATGGTGGATGACTTGGAAAAAAAGAGTATATATCGTAGTCATATCTCGCAGTCTAATGAATAGTTAGTTAATCTGGATGATACCCTTCAACTTGCCGTGCGAATTCGATTATGTTGAAAGTCTTATGACTGATGTTTTCACGTAAAAGTGAATGATGCATGTAAGGTTGAATAATTATTTTATTATGTATCCAACGAATTAATATATTGTGTTGTGTATTTGTGGCGTGTGGGTATGATATGCGTGTGGAATGTCATGTATTATGTATGCATCTTCCGTTTAATCTAAAAAAATATAGCAAAAACTAAATAGATGACAAAAGGCTAAACATTATAATGGATCACAGTATTCCAGTTCTGATATGAAGAAATGATTAATTGATTTCATGCCATTGCAAATATGCTGATTCAGATAAATATCATTATAATTCATCTGTTCGTATACATGCCATTTGAATTCACAGTAAACTGAAACCATGCCATCACCCCTTTTTTTTAGGGAAACACTGTAGAGGAAGCCCCCACATTTAATAAATTAAATTAAAAGAAGGAATACAAAATATTTACAAAAGGTTTATTCACTGAGATAAAGCTTGTCTCTCAGAAACTTTTTAATCTAAAGACTAAAAGGGAAAGATCAATTTTAAAGAGAGCTTTTCAGGAAACAACCGAAGGTGGTACATTCTGCAAAATGAAAGCATTTCGTTGCTTCCAAATGTTCCATGCAACATAGAGAATTTTTTCAACAAAATGAGTAGATCTATGAGTTCTTTGCCTGCAGCAGCATATCATCAAAATTGAGAGAAAGGTTCCAGACAATTCCCAGCTGCACCCAACAATCTGAGCTGAATTGGCATTGAAAGAAAAGGTGGAAAGATGTTTCCCTTGCTTAAGCTGGACAAAGGACACATGCTAGATCAGAATTTTCAGGAGGGCAGTGCCTTCTCTGCAGCATATCATAAGTGTTTAATCTGTCAATTAGGAGAAGCCAAGCAAACACCTTAACTTTCATAGAACATTTGCTTTTCCAAATCCAACTTAAGTACCCAGGGGCTTGAACATGCATGCAATTTATTGTATAAATTTTATGAGAAGAGAACAGTCCATTCCCCTAGACATAAGCCCAAACATCTTTATCATCAGATAATAAGTTGAGGGGGTCAGCTTCACTCATGGATTCATATTCCTGGAA